TGTTCCATCTTTGGTAGTTGCTTGACTGTTGGCAGTAGGTACTGCGCTGTTTCCCCAAACTCACAGAGTGGTGTTCTGTGGTCTTTGTTCCATCTGTGAAAGTAGCTGGTGTTGCCATCCGCATGTGTTGCGTATCTGTTGGGTAGAGTAGATGCGCTGTGTGTCGTACCAGCCATGGTACGATTGGATGCTTGCTGGTGATTGTCCTGTGGTAGTTTTGTTGTAATTGGGCTCTCAGTGTTCTGATTTGTCCCATCAGTGTTCGATGGAACCGTTCGACGCTGCCTTGTGCTTGTGGGCTGTATGCCGGTGACTGCCTGACGGTGATGTTGCCGCCGCCCATCTTGTTTGCTGCTGTGTGTAGTGGTGTTATCAGGTGATTCTGCCGCATTCCATGAGGAATGATTGGATGCAGCTGACATGGGATTGGAAGTCTTGCTGTTTGTCTCCTACCATCGTTGCCATAACCATGCCTGTTTCCACAGTCCAGGGGACATTCAAAGTTGCTTGTCGCTTTGTTGTCCAATCGTCATCAATCCTGTACCATCTTGCTCCTGATGTTGGCTTGACGGTTGTTTGTCTTTTCAGGGATCATCTTTGTGACACCTGGCCCATCTTGTGTCTGTTGTGGTATGTAAAGTTCTGTTCTGGGCTTTATGTTGTCTCTTTTCCACAGATGTCCTTCACGGATCCAATCGTCTTCCGTTGTTGGAAGCTCCTTTGGCCGTGGAATGCTTGTTGTTGGGTGTGGTTTCTGTTCGCTGCTTGGCTGTTGCTCATTGCTTGTTGCCATCTCCTCTGACCTCTCTGGCTTCTTTTGTGTGTATCTCCTCTTCTGTTGCGCTTGTTCCTGCTGTTGCTGATTGGGTGCTGGTACTGCCTTGTTTGGTGTTGTCGGTGTTGCAATCGGTGGCTTTGGTGGTCTCACATTCTTCTTAACCTTGAACCATGTTTCACCTTTCCATGATGTGTTCAGCATCCTCTTCTGTTGGCTGTGCTCAAGGCTGTGAAGTTTCTCCTCGGCTTTTTTTCTGTAGCCCTCAAGCTTGTCCATCGGAACTGGACATTGTTGGTCTGGCATGTACGTTGCTCTGCGCTTGGCTTTGTGGAGTCTCACCATGTATTCCTGACTGTTTTATGTCCAAATGACGTGTTGGTGTGTCACCCATTGTGCTCCTTCTCGTGTCAATGTGATGGGTGTTATTGTTGCTTTGATTCCTTGTTGTGTGTCATGTACGTCAAGCTTGTAATTGGGTGGTGTTCCTGTGTTGCTCACAGGTATAGGAAGTATGTATGTTCCTTCCTTTGCTCGTAGCTTTGCTTCAAACCCGTTTGGGTGTGTGATTGTTGGTCGCTCACTGAGGTGGATTGTGAAGCCTTGTTCTGTCAGTCTTGTTACCGGCAGTATTGCTTGTGAAACCGAGCACACATAGCGATCTGCTCTTGTTGGTCATGTAGACCCACTTGTACCCATAGACATCAATGGGGTCTTCTGTTGCTGTTCTGAGATTTGCCTTTCGTGTTCGGGTATGTCATAGGTCTGAGTTGTTGAGGCAAACCAAATTTGGCAAACGTGTGTTGCCGCTCCATTGTCGATCATCAGTTCATCCTTGTTGAGGTTTATGATCATGCTCATGTCTGGTGCTCTTATTACGCTGTTGCTGTTGCGTGGTGCTGTGACCGCTGCAATCTGCAATGCTGGTGTTGCATCTAATTGTGAAGGTGCTGGCAGTGCAAGTTGCTGTTGTTGCTGCACTGCGTTGACTTGCGTTTGGTCATTTGTCCACCAATGGTTGTCATAGGTGGTTTGTGGTCCATACCACTGCTCAGTTGCATCGTTGTATCCTTCCTGGACGTCCTCCTGAATGTTGTAGACTGCAACTCTACAGTCTTGTGCCATGTGGCCTGGCTGACCACATCTGTAGCAGCCTGTTGTGTATCCTTTTCCTTTGCCGGTTGCCTTTCCTTGTTCTTTTCCTTTTCCTGGTGCATAGTTTCTGTATCCTTTGTATTGAACTGTTTGTTGAACGGGCCCTTTTATTTTGCCTTGTCCTGAGTAGCCTTTTCCTGCGTTGCCTTTCTTTCCTTTACCTTTTCCTTTCTTTCCTTTGCCTTTGTGCTTGCTCTTTCCCTTTTCTTTGTTGATGGCTCCTATGTCCATCGGTGCGGCTCCTCCATTGTAGTTTGTTGCAACACTGGATGATGCGCTCTGCTGGAGCCTGCTGAATGCTGTGGTTGTCCTGTAGTATTCCATAATGATTGCTCTGATGTCAATGTAGGTTGGCGTCGCTCCAGCTATAAGGTGAAGGTGTTGTTGTAGTGGTTGTTTTGTTTCATACATCAAGACTGCAATCTTGACTTGGTGTGGTAGTTGGGTGCTGTTGTCTCTTTCATACCTGTTGAGTTCAAATGCCCAATTGGAGAATGACTCCTCAGAGTTGTTGTTGTCAAATGTTGGCTTCAAGAGCTTTGCGAGGTATCCTATGCTTCTTGTTCCTACCGGCAGTGCAAACCTCATGTTGAGTTGTCGGAGTACCCCGAGTCCGATCTCATGTTGATTTTGTCTGCAAAGAGTGGCTACTGCTCCTGTTGTCACGTTGATCAACACATAGTTGAGGTTTTGATCGAGTTGGGCCCATGCTTCTGCTTCCTCCAGTGTTGTAGCTGCTTGTCGTAGGTGTGCCTCTGTCACTTGTTGTGCCGCTGCTTCTGCCAGCCTAAACATCCTTGGGTAGAATGGGTCCTGTAGGCCCATGTATGCTGTGAACTTGTATTTCCATTCTTCATATGTGGCATAGTTGCCATCATATGTTGGGGATTTGAGTTTGAGTTTGTGTGTTGCTGTCAAGGCTGTTACTTCATCACCTGCTGGCACTGCCATTGTTGTGTGTAGGTGCTTGTTGCGTCTGGTTCAGGATCCCCCAGTGTTCTGGGATCAAGTCCTCTGCCTGTTGTTCACTGCTGTTGCTTGGAGATGCCCCAGGTTAGGCAGAGCCCCGCTACCATGAAACATTCAAGGCAGCTGTTGATGCAGTCTATTGTACAGCTGACGCTGTGCACTGTTGAAGTGCGCCTTTTCTTCCACACGCTGTATTGTTGTCTTGCCACACTGTTGTATTCACAGTTGGCTACCGGGCTGACTCAAGTCTGACTCAAGGCCTTGTGTTGAGCCAAGATGTTGAACCAATACCAAGACATGTTGGAGAACTATGTTGCCCAAGGGAATGCATAGTTGATATTTATCAGTGTATATATATATATAAATTATACATGTATATAATGGACTTCTAACAGACTTCCAACAGATTTGTCAGAGAAATCTTATGCACATAAACTACTGTAGAAAAATATGGACCGGAGAGCGATGTTACACGATGCCACCGAGTTAAACAAATACGTTTCAATCGAAGCGGCCGCTGTTCAGATTTGCATCAGAAGCATCACGTCCTGTTCATTCCGTTTTTCCCACAAGCATCTTCGATGCTTCGGTTCTCGCGGGGGCCCCTGCCAGCATTGCTCCAGATCAGCTCGGCCGCGGAGAAAGTGCGGGTCAGCAATAGGGATATATCACCTCAATCCACCTCTTCTCCCGTTACAATCTCTGGGAAGCTGCGGGCTCTCGGGAGCTTGGCAGGAGGTCTGGTTTGTTGCCCGTCCTTGCCTGTGTCCACAGATCTTGCACGTTCGTGGTCATCATGGAAAGGAGCCTGCGCACTGTTTTTGCATTGTGACGTTGCTGGAAAAGCGACCAAACTTGTGCCGACGATTCTGCGGACGGTTGTGTAGAAGGAAATGGGTGGGGAGAAGGGCCAGGGACCCCCAAACTTGGAGATATTTCAAGGGTTCTGCAGGGCAGCCAGTGGGAACAACATTTTATAGACACATAAAGCATCTCGATTTCAGATTTGCGAGATTCTTGGCATAGATGGCGCAGCCGACTATAGGAAGGGCCTGTGATGTCACGTCCTTCTGAGGTGTCAAATTTCAAAAAGTTGGCGCCGTCTATGCGCGCCCTTTCGAAGTGGGCAGGGCCACCTACTTTGAGTGCGGTGTAAATGCTTCTGTGTGTGAAGGTGTCTATGTGCAAAAGCTTCTCTGCGTAAAATTGTAAAAATTTCAGTGTGTAAAAGTCTCTGTGTGCACAAGTTTCTGTGCGTAAAGGCTTCTGTGTATAAAAGCTTCTGTGTGTAAAAGCTGCTCTGTGTAAAGGCTTCCGTGTGTAAAACCTTCTGTGTGTGAAAGCATTTGCGGCATATAAAAGCGTTTGTGTGTAAAAAGTTGCCCTGCGAAAAAGCTTCTGTGCGCAAAAACGCATCTGTGTTTACAAGCGACTGTGTGTCAAAAGTACCCTGTCTAAGTTTCTGCGTGTAAAGGCAGTTCTGTGACTGTAAATGCTTCTGTTTGTAAAAGCTGCTCTGCGCAAAGGCTTCTCTGTGTAAAAGTATCTCTGTGTAAAAAACTTCTTTGTGTAAAAGTCTCTGTGTCTAAAAGCATCTGCGAGTGTGTGTAAAAACTGCTGTGTGCAAAGGCTTCTGTGCGTAAAAGCTCCTGTGTGTGTAAAAGTTGCTCTGTGCAAAAACTTCTCTGTGTAAATGCTTCTGTGTGTAAAAACTGCCCCGCGCATCATTCATCTTCTTCATCATCATCGTCGTCGTCATCATCACCATCACCATCACCATCATCATCACCATCAACATCATATTTTCGTCTGTCTTGTCTTCTACGGTCATCTAGTTTCATAAATAAGTGGGCCACCAGCATAGACCCTGTCCGCAGATGAAATATTATAATACGCCCCAAATCTTGCAAACGCGTGCCTTCATGATCTCACGGTCCGAAGATTGGCGGTAAGGGAGGAAGGTGTGCCGCCCATCAACCATTAATCCCATTCGCTTGCTGTCGTGTTTCCTTTGGGTTCTCCCGCCCCCCTTGCCTTTTAAGCCGCCTTAAAAACTATTGTATTTCTTGAAGAATTTTACTATTTTGTGCCACTAGCTTAGGTTGTTCGGTGGCTGCTGAAGCATTGGAGATCTGTCAGAAACTTAGAGGGACGCTGTGCAATCTCTTCAGCTAGGCCAAAGCTGCCCGATGCGGCGGAAATTACTTCACTTCTCTTCACTTCTCTTGCTCAGTTCTTCGTGGCTTCGCTGTGTCCCAGCAGTCCTTTTGTGCATTTCAGGAACTGGATTCAGCAGACGAACCCTGCGGGGCATCTCCACTGTGCCTTCGCTTGAATAGTGCTCGAAGATCAAGTCAGAAAGGTGTCAGCGATTCCTGTTTCAAATGTTGCTCGTACGGATGAAGGTTTCAAACTCAGATACACACTGAGTCATCTTGGTTTTCAGATAACCACGTTTGTTAAGGCATTTCGCAGCCTTGGGTGGTCATGACCATGTGTGTGAGGTGCTGCTGGGAGCCCAAGTGAAGTGAGGTAGCTGAATCGTTTCCAACTCATGGATTTCATATGATTTTGATTCTCGTGTGTGTTCAATCAATCTTCATGCGTTGCTGCTGCCCAGACTTCAGGATTGAGCATGGCGCCGCCGATGTGGATTGCAGGGACCGGGTCGGTTGGATGCTGGATGTGCACAGCATGGAATGTATTTTGAGCCGAAGGACAACTCCGGACTTCGAGCGCTGCATTTGGCGGCTGAACAAGGACATGTCAACACTTGCCCTTTGCCCAGTGTTGCTCAGTTTTACTCGGTTTCCACGGTGAAGTCTTGACACAGCATGTTCTCCACGAATGTTGCCAAGCTAAGGCCTTTCCTTGTTGCAGTGTGGTGCAGAACCAGACGGGGGGAAAGGCTTGGAATGGCTCATGGCTCCGGAGTCGCGGAATCGTGCGCTTTTCGGTTTGGCAGTGCTTTGCTGTAATTACCTCTGCCGTTGTGCCATATTGTGCAATGTTGCTATCCAGGGATGAGCGACGTTGCATGCGGTGGATGACCCAGTTCCCCATTTGATTCTGGAATGGGCTCCAGACATCTCCAACAATCAAAATGGAATGGTGGCCAGAAATGCAATGAGAAAGCCAGTGGCGGAGTCAAATTTGTTGTGGTGTACACTGAGGTGCTCCGACACCACTTCTTTTGGCCGCGGAGTGTGGTCATGCGGAGGCTGGGATGAATTCTGAACGGTACCGGCTGTACCTGAGATGTTTGAGACCTCGGCTGCGCAGGTTTGTGCACTCCTTGTGACTTTCCGTCCTGCCCTTGGGCACTTGGATTTCGCAGCTTCGATATCAAACGGATCCATGTCGACTATTTTCTCGACTATTTCGACTTTTGTCTTTTACAAGTGGTTTGCGTGGCCGGACACAGAGAGAGTGAAAGATTCCAGGCGCAGACCCTTTGGCCTCCAGCCTGGATGGACGCACCCCTTTGGCTGTGGCAGAGATCTTAGACATTGGGTGATTCGTTGGATGATTCGTTGGACCATGTTGGTGCCGCCCACCTTGCCGCTGAGGCTCGAGAGAACGCCATTGGAGCTGGGCTTGCTGCCTACATTTGGATCAACCCAACTAAGCTGCAAAGCCAAGGTCACATTTCTCGGAGCATTCTCTATTCTTCTCTATCAGAGAGGTCTGCATGTTTTCTTGTTTGACTTATATCGGTCTTCTCTGATTGCACTTCCTCCTTCCAGCATTTCATTTTGATTTTGATTTTGTTCTTTTTCCAATTCGGCCTGTGGTTTTGTATTTTTTTTACCAGTAGTACCGCACAAGGCGGTGGCGGAAGTTTCAAAGTTATAAAACCTATAGGAGAGCTTGGTTGTTGTGAATCACGGATGGCAGAGCAAAGCCACTGATGGATCGAAAGGTGATTGATGTGTCTCTCTCTCTCTCTCTCTCCCTCGCTCCCTCGCTCCCTCGCTCCCTCGCTCCCTCGCTCCCTCGCTCCCTCGCTCCCTCCCTCCCTCCCTCCCTCCCTCCCTGATTATCTACGTATACCTACCGATCCATCGATCTATCTAATCTATCAATCAATCAATCTATCTATCGCTCTATCTATCTATCTATCTACCTATCTACCTATCTATCTATCTATCCATCCATCTATCTATCCATCTATCTATCTATCTATCGATCGATCGATCGATCGATCGATCTATCTATCTATCTATCTATCTATCTATCTATCTATCTATCTATGTTTACTTATCTATCTATGTTTACTTATCTATCTATGTTTACTTATCTATCTACCGATCTATCTATCCATCCATCTATCTATCTATCTATCTATCTATCGATCTATCTATCTATCTATCTATGTTTACTTATCTATCTATCTATCTATCTATCTATCTATCTATGTTTACTTATCTATCTATCTATCTATCTATCGATCTATCGATCGATCGATCGATCTATCTATCTATCTATCTATCTATCTATCTATCTATCTATCTATCTATCTATCTATCTGCAAGCTTGAAAACGAAGCAATTCTGCGAGACTTCCTGATTTTCTGAAGTTGACAACATCAAGAACGAAGCAATTCTGCGAGACTTCCTCAATTTTTTGAAGATGGCAATATGAAAAACGAAGCAATTCTGCGCGGTGTCCTTCAAAAATGGAAAGTTGAGTGCAGAGCTGACTGCCTCGTGCCAATGCGTTTTGCGATTTTTCCACTTCACCTGTCTAAAGTATTGCGCCTGCCAGGAAAAAGTGATGCCAGGTCATACAAAGTGCTGCACCTGTCCGGCAAAATCATCTTCCCAAAACTGAAGATCTGATGCTCCAAAATGCAACCCCTCTCAGGGAATCAGCGACCGGACCTCCTAGCATCTCTGATGAACATGTCTCTTGTACTGCGGAAAAGGCATCTTTGCAGATCTCCTGCAAATGACCCACGCCTGCCCTGGTTTGTGGAAATGCTCCAAAACCTTCACGTTTTGCTCACTCTTGACAAGGTGCACAATCCCTTGCGCCTGCCAGGCGAAACGACACCTGAACGTGGTCAGAACCCCTGGTGTTTTTAACATTTTGATTTCGAAATGTGCTTCGCGCCACAACGGCGTGCACTTTTCGGCATCTCAACTTGCAAAAAGTGGTCCGAACCTGGTGTGGTTTGTACTTTTCGACTTCGAAATGTGCTTCGCGCCACAACGGCGTGCACTTTTTCGACATCTCAACTTCCAGAAGTGGTCCGACAATGGTGTGTTTTGTGCATTTTGACTTGGAAATGTGCTTCGCGCCACAGCGGCGTGCACTTTTTCGACATCTCAACTTCCAAAAGTGGTCCGGAGCTGGTGTGTTTTGCGCATTTTTACTTCGAAATGTGCTTCGCGCCACAAAGGCGTGCACTTTTTCGACATCTCAACTGCCAAAAGTTGTACCTTTTGACTTCGAAATGTGCTTCGCGCCACAACGGCGTGCAATTTTTCATCTCTCATCTGGCCGGATGGCTCCGCACCCGCCGCTTTAGCGAGCCTACTTTTCAACCCTCCGGAGCCACAAATGATTTGAAAAACACAGTGCGTCGCGACTTTCCTACCTTTTCGCGCGCCTGGGATCTTCTTTCTTCTGACTCTTTCTCTTCTCTGATCTTCTCTCTTCTACTCTTCTCTCTTCTACTCTTCTCTTCTCTCTGACTCTTCCCATCTCTGCTTTTCATCTGTCCATATTGTCGGAAGTTTGACTTCTAAACTTCCTTCGATGATTTATATATATATATATTTAAACAATACATTCTTAAATACATTTAATAGATTACCTAGGCCTTCGTTCGTAGCACTTTTTTCTGGGAGACTAGGTTGTTGACTTCTTTTCGAGATATCGGTCAGAAAAAGTAGTTCTTCACCAAAGCGCCTACTTTTGCAATTTACCTATGATTTCCCTGGTTTCATTTCATGCTGCATTACCATGTTACGCATTCAACCTCATTCAACCCTATGTCAGTTGAATTCCCTAATGCGGGCCATTGATAAAACTAAGTGAAGCAATGACAAGTGGCCCGCAAATCGACAGGGTCAACCACCACCTACCCTCTATCCACCATAAGCGAATAAAATCAACACGCTAAACTCTGACCAGTCATGTTAGCTGGTCAATCGGCTTTGAAGTGCCACCAACAGACTCTTTGGCTCACCATTTCTTAGATTATGTTCATTTCTGTGTGCGATGTGCACGTTTTATGCGAAAGTTCGCGCCTACAAAAACCGTCAAAACTCCCTCAAAAAGCTTCAAAACGACTACAAAAACCATCAAACGCCTACAAATCCCAAAAACTAGGTAGCTAGGTCACTTTGTTTTTTAATAATGTTTTCGGCAATATGCAAAAAAATGGAAATTTGAAGCCTTCTGTCTTTTTTTGCAGAGTTCTCACGGAATTATGTTTTTGGAAGAAGCATGGTCATGATTGCAAGTTTGAACACTATGCGTGTGTGTGTGCACATCACCATGCGGATTGGGCTGCACGACTTATTTTGTGAAAGACCACTTGAAACCAGGCTTTTTCCATGAGCGAAATCTATAATTGAGCGAAATCTATAATCAATTCAGGGGGTCGGGGAATGACAAAAAATCAAGGTGGGAGTGGAGGGCATAAAACTCACGACCGGTTTTTGGAGATATCGACCAAAACGTCTACTTTTTGAATTAGCGTCCAGAAAAAGTAGAACACTAGGGGTCAACCAAAATTTTCTTGATCTTTTGAAGACCTAGGTATGTCTCTGCAGAGTAGAAATATTACGACCCAATTACCCCCACAGGTATAGTCTACATATAGCTCACTATGCGGTAGTGATTGTAGCTATGATTCCAACTTTCCGATTGTGTTGTACAGTTATCATAAAGACAACCTGTAGCTAGAAGCGTTAGCTGTAGGTAGAGCCCTTGTATAACATAGGAATTGTTGTTCCCCTTTTACCCAGCGGGTCCAACATAGTAGCCTTTGCAATTACCTTGGCTCAAGTCGCACGATAGAAAAAGTGCGCGCAATTAGCTGTATGATTCCAGGGGGTGTAAATCCTACTGTTGGTGGTTTTTCCCCGTTTTTTCTTGTATTATAATTTTTATTTTATATGATAATAATAAGCTTCCGTGTGCCGGTTATGGGGCTTGTGGGGCCTCGGGCCTCAGGTCATCTCGTATCTCCTTGGCTCCGTTTGATTTGCTCGTTTCTAAGTCTCATGAGGTTCGAGCTGCTGGCCTCACTTGAAGCGGCCCTCTGGCCCAACCGCGAGGTCCCCCACCAGACGTGTTAGCGCTTGCGTGTGCCTGCGCTATGTTCATTTCTTTGAGTCTTTTTGCATCTCTTTTCATCTTTTGTTTACTCTCTTCATCTCTTTGGTGTTGCAGGCGTCTTCTCGTCGGCAGAAGGCTGTTTAACATCTGCATGTTTTTGTTCCATATTTTTTCGTGCGCCGAACGAGATTTTTCGACTACACATCCAAGAAAATCTGGGACGCAGAGGTGACAACTTGCGCCATGGAGTCTCGGCCAGTGTTGGCAGGCGGGGATTCTTTGAACATCTTTGAACGCTGGAACCCATTCCTGGCAAACGATATAAACAAAGTAATGGGCGTGAACGAAGTAAACATCAATGTAAGAGGACCTGAAGCTCAAGACATCATCCGGCGGACCTTGCGGCAGACGCGCTCTCAGTACCAAGACAATTTACGACCTTTGGGTTTTTGGGAAATTGACGCTTGGAATCCTCTAGGATCTGATTGAACTTTGAATGTTTCAAACATTGGAACCGGATTTGGACATCATCAGTTTCTATCAGCTTAGGCGCTAAACAACTGGCGAGTTTGTGAGGCAGGACTAGACCAAGACAGCCCGGCACGCCAAGGGTGCATCGTATCCAGTACCTACACTGAAACTGCTGTAGCCGTATGTAGCCGTAGCCTATACATATTTAAAGATGTCAACCATATTTGGTAATTTGGAAGATTTTGAAAGACACCTTTTCCAAGTCTCCAATCCAGTAATCCAGGGAGTCTGAAGTCATGGGTGCTTGGAAAAGTTTTTGTGCATCGGCTTTGCAAGGCTTGGTTGCTCCTTGCGATTGGGGACGGCCACATCTCTGGACAATACCTGTGCCATCCGGTGCCACAGGTATTTAACACAGGGGAAGATTCCCGACTCCGAGGAAACCTTGGCACGCTATGTTCCAGCGGTACCAGGGGAAACTTCTGCCTGACATGTACAAAATTTAAGGACGCAAGCCTGGATTCTGCAGAGAACACAAGCGAAACATAGCAAAACAAGAAAACGATGAATTTTGAAAAAAGTCAAACTTAAATATACGCAGTTTAATTGGACTCAATTGGTATTTGAGTCTTCTCTTCTACAGGTCTTCCATGGTTTTCCTGGACCAGCCAGGCAGTAAAGGACCTTGAAAGAGGGTGATGAAAGCACCAGAGGCTTGTCTCCAACCCACACCACTCGAGGGGTTTTAAAATTAGACTCTGTGGCCACTTTGAATCTGGCACTGCCGTGGTCGACCGCACAATTCGCTGCTTTTCTTTAAGAGATTGTTGACTTGTTCGCGAATAGTCTATGTATTATTATTATTATTATTAAATGTTATTTTTGCTGTTGTGGCACCACCTTACTTTTCATTTTTGCATTTGCACATTTCAAATCCTTTAACCTGTCAGGTGCTGAACTCAACCTGATGCGTAGCTGTTTTTTTCTTCAAGGGCCCCGTGGCCAAACTATGCCCGCCAGATAGGGCTGCAAAGCAAGGAGAAAAACTAGAAGAACGAGCACCTGCGGAGGCCTGGATCCGAAGAAGGCTGGGAATTTTAGGTGGCTGGGCCTGGTGGAGCACTAGGGCTTCATCAGGTTTTGAGCCCAAAGCCTGCCACTGCAAAGATGGAACCTATGATGCAAAGAAGAAAAGCTACCCCGAAAGAGCTTGAGCAAGGCCAAAGGGAAATAGAAGAAGCGCAAAGGAGGCTGGATCAACAGGTGAAAGATGAAGTAGCGTTAGGAGATAGGAAGGTTGAAGGTGATTCTAAGGAGGCTGAGACCCCCATACTGCCTGAGGAGAATATGGAAAGGGTTAAAGCTATAACTGAAGGTCCCCAGTCTTCAAAAGCTGCTTCACCTGAGGAAATCCGCCCTCTGAAAAATGCGCCTGAGGAACCTGGAGCCACTAAGGAGACTAAGGTTGCAGTTGCTGCTGAAGGTGTTTTGCCTTCACCGCAGGCAGTGCCGTTTCAAAGAACTTCGAAAGCTGCAGCCATTGACCTGAAGACTCCAGAAAAGAAAGATGAAGAAGGACAGCATGAGGTTGGGAGTGTGGAAAAAAGCGTAGCACCTCAGTCAGACCCGAAGATGTCTGAACCTCCGCGCATGTCCACGCCCATGACTCCTTTGTTTGATGAAAATCAACTTAGGTTTCAAGAACTGCATGCACAAGCACCATGGCTATATCCACAACATGTCTCTCAAGCTCCCTTGTCTCTGATGCCACCTGGGCAATTCTTGCCTCCGGTCCAACGACCTCTTTTCCTTGAACAAGATGAACGAAGAATGCATGAGGAGGGCCGGGTTGGGTCCAGCGGCTTTCATGGACATGGGCATGATAGAAGCATGGATGTAGATAGAGAAAATCGAGAATTGAGAAGGAATTTGGGAAAAGTTTTGAGGGAGAATCAGCTCCTGAGGGAAAGGGTTGATGCGTTGGAGTTTCAAAAGTTGGATGAAGATCAGCGGTTTGCAACTCCAAATGGCTCTGATGGCCAGCTTGAAAGACCCCCCAAAAAGGAGGCCGATAGACCCCCCAAAAAGCCCAAGGGAGGCCGAGGAGGCTTTCAACTCACACCGGCCGGCTGTCGGTGTGACCACCGGTTCAGGTAAGGAGGCTGAAAGACCTCCTGATGGAAGCGGTGAAGGTTCTCAAAGATCAAGGGAGGCTGCAGACCCCCACAAAGGTAAAAAGACGTCAGCTGGCGATTCATCGGCTGCGTTCACGGAAAAGTCATTGGATTTTTTGGCATTGATGATGATATCTATGAAAGAGATGCAAAAGCGCATGAATGACTCCAAGGATGATGCTGGTTTGGTGAAGGGTGTTGAAACGATTCGCGCTGGCAGCCCAGATCTTCCAGCATTACAACCATGGGAAGCTCAGCATGGCCCCTTGATTCTTGGAGATTGGCTTTTACTGACGGAGCCCATGGTTGCAGACCTGTCCATGATGGCAGGGGAATGGTGGCGAATTACCGTCAAAGCAGCCGAAGAATGGTACAAGCTTCACATGAGCTTGAGCCCCTTGGAAAGAATCAAGCACCCCTGTGAAGCACCGCCTGAAATTACCTTGGAGAAGTGGCAGAGGGTTGAAAGAAGGGTTTCTTCAATGATCCTCCAAGCTGTTCCCCAGGGTGTCCGCGAACAACTTGTAGCCTCAAGGAGAATGACGACCTTTGGGATTGTCACGTATCTCTTGGTCGCCTATAGCCCTGGAGGAGTTTCAGAAAAGCAAAACATCCTTAGAAGCTTGGAAGAGCCACCGGAGATTCAAAGCCTCAATGAAGCTCCTGGTGCACTACGACGTTGGCTTCGATGGAGAAACCGCGCAAAAGAAATAGGAGCTGTGCCCCCAGATCCAGCTCTACAACTCAAGGGGCTTTTAAAGATGTCAAAGAAACAGCTGGAAAGTCAAAGGGAGCTACAGTTCAGGGTGTCCCTAGTCCGGTCTGGGCTTGGGCCTTGGGGTTGACACTACGCCAAATGACACCAACGTGGAGCAGTTCGCTTACCACCTTCTTGCTGAGTTTGAACAGCTGGCTTTAACCGAAAAGAAGCCAGGTGCACCCACAGCAGCTGCCAAAGGTGAGCAACCGAAGTTGAAGTCTTTGGAAGCTTAAAGAACGAAAGCAAAGAAAGGAGATGAGGAGACTGGAAGGTCACCTACAAAAAGAGAAGAAGGAAAGGACGAAAAGCCGAAGTGTCGTTTTTTCCTTACAGACCACGGTTGCAAAAGGGGAAAGGCATGCAACTTTTCCCACGATGTCAAAGATGAAAAGAGAAGATGCTGGAATTGCAGCTGCCCAGACCATACGTCGCCGGCATGCACAAGACCAAAGAATTCGAATGACACCTCTCCACAAAAGCCACCACTTCAAAAGGTTGAGGGGGAGGAAAAGTCACCATCAAGCCCATAGACAAAGGAGGATGAGGGAGGCTCAGAACAGGCGTCAATGAAAGACCTTTTGGAACAAGCAAATAAGATGTTGAAAAGCCTGACCACTTCTGCGTCTACCGCTTCTCCCTCTACTACAAGTGTTGCAAACGAGCCCAGAGATGAAGTTGTTGATCGACTTCAGCAACAGTTGAATTCGCTGAAGTTGAAGGTGTTCAAGTTGAGCCAAGTTTCTTTTGGAAAAACACAAGGCCTCATAGACTCTGGGGCCACCCATGCACTCCATCCACTACGTCCAGGAGAATCATGTGCCAACTACAAGACTGTGAATGTGACCCTTGCGAATGGTCAACAAGCTCAACTCCGAATGACTCCTGGAGGTGTGATGGTCTCAGGGTGCGCTGATGTGGAGCCACCCTATCTCTTGCCTCCGCCTGAAAAGAAAGAAGGAGAAGAAGAGCTCAAACCTGGAGGCTTCGACATCAAGATCTTCCGCCTGGCTGCACCTATGATCACCAAAACTGCAAGAGAAGTCACCAAAACAGCAATGGACTTCATCCTCAAGCTCAGAATGGACGGCTTCCACATTGGAAGAATACATTCAGATCGAGGTCATGAGTTCTCCGGGGTTTTCCGGAAATGGGCCAACTCACGTGGCATAGTGCTGACACGCACACCTGGAGATGATCCTCGAGCGAATGGCCGTGTGGAGGTGGCAGTGAAGAGCTTCAAAACACAAATGCGTCGGCTGCTCAAACAAGCCGATGTGGGCAGCGAATGTTGGCCATTAGCGGCTCGCTGTGCCGATGCCTTGAACAGAAGCTGGCGGCTTGGCGACGCTCCAAGCTTTCCACCTTTCATGCAGGACGTCCTTGTGAGGCGTCGCACATGGAGACAGGGTGTCTTCGAGCCCACTGTGGAGACTGTCAAGTACCTGTTTCCTGCTCCTGAAGAACGTGGACATTGGGTTCAAGCTGAAGAAGAACGACCAAGAGTCACCAAATACGTTCTTCGGAAAGCCAAAGAGCCAATCACCGACAGAAGTGGGTCGCAATCGAAAAGGAAGTCGCTGATGCTTTGACCACCAGGAGGAGGTTGCGAGAGAAGACATCAGTAAGAAAGATTAAAGTTGAGGAGAAAGATTTGAAAGATGAGGAGAAAGAAGAAGAAAAGGTTCAGCAGCTGAGACAGAGGCTGAGCAGAATGATAGAAGAAGAAATGAAACACATGGTCGAAGACGACCCTGACATAGCAGTGGAAGAACTCAAATGGGTAGCGAAAATGAAAAGAATGATGGAAGAACCAAGTGGAGGATGAGATTCTCCAAACGAAAGTAATCTCAACAAGCGAGGTTGCCAAAAGTTGGAAAAGTTGGCTTGAAGCCATCGATGCCGAAGTTCAAAGTCTTTTGGAGGAGAAAGATGCTTTGAAAAAGATCGCACGAAAAGAATTGGAGGAGATTCAAAAGAAGGCTGCTCAAGAAGGCCGCGCTGTGGAGATCATACCCTCAAAATTGGTCTTCACGATCAAAGCTGGCCCCAATGGCGGCAAGCGCAAAACACGTTGGGTGATTTGCGGAAACTATGAGTCCAAAAAGGATTCTGAACAGACCTTTTCAAGCGGTGCTGATGCCGCAGCCTTTCGGCTGTCGATTTGGGCAGCAGCCCGTCATCAATGGGCTGGTGCAGTCATCGACATCAAGACTGCGTTCCTCAACGTTGATGGATCAGGACGACCAAGAAGCTGTCCTGATTTTGGGGCCACCTGCACTTTTCACCGAGAAGGGCTACATGGCACCGGATGATTTCTTCGTGCCTCAAAGAGCTGTGTATGGGCTCCGCCGTTCTCCAAGATTGTGGGGTACGTGCCGTGATGAAACTATGGAAAGCTTTCAAATCGAAGCAGAAGATTCAAGAGGAGGAAAAAGAAAGTTCCATCTACGAGCTCTTCAATCAGAACCAAACCTTTGGAGAGTGCTGGAAATTTTCGATGAAAGCCAAGTCCTATGGGGACTGGTTATGACCTACGTGGATGACGTCTTCATCTGCTCATCCCACTCCATCCTGGAGGCCATCAAGGAGAAGTTTCAAGAAACTTGGAAGACATCAACGCCAGAGTATGTCTCCGAGCATCCCATTCGTTTTCTTGGGATGGAAGTGTCAAAAAGAAAAGCTGAGGGTGGAAAAAGGGAGGAGTGGTATGTGACCCAGAGGTCATATATCAAAGACTTGATAGAGAAAAGTGAAGAAAAAGTGAAAGAAAGAAAGATCCCTGTTACCCGTGACCAAGCTCACATTGAAGCACCAGCGTCTACACCTACGCTGGAAGAAGTGCGAGGAGCTCAAAAATGTGTTGGAGAAGTACTTTGGCTTCTCACCCGCTCACGCCCTGACCTCATGTATGGTGTGAGTCGGATGGGATCAAACGTCCTGAAGAATCCCGTCAAAGTCATGGAGCTAGGAGATCAAATCAAGGGCTATCTCAAAAGAACTCAAGATGAGGGATTCCGCTACCAGGTGGACTTCAAAGATGAGATCGTCCTGCAGGCATACTCAGATGCCTCGTTTTCTCCTGAAGGCTCAGAAAGTCATGGAAGCTTTTTGGTTTTGCTGGAAGGGTCGCCGATTTTTTGGCAAGCTGGCCGACAGAGTCTGGTCACACTTTCAACAGCTGAATCAGAGATGACAGAAGTCATAGAAGCGATGACTGCTGGCGAATTGGCGGGAGCTGGAGGACGAGGCACCTCAAGCTTCGTTCCTCATTTGCCAGGCAGAGCATCAGCCGTGGCGTTTGGCTGATCCAACATGTTGCTGGCGAGTCAATGATCGCCGACTTGGGGACGAAAGCCTTGAGCGCCCCAAAATTGGAAAAGCTGAAAAATCTCATGAGCATGGGAAGTTTGAAAGAAGTAGAAGAAAAGGAGGAAGAAAAGAAAGAAGGAGGTTTTGAGAAAGAAAGGAGGCTGAGAGAAGAAGGCGAAGATCAAAAGAAAAGCGAAGGGATGAAAGTAGCTGAAGCAGCTCAGATCATCAAGCTCATCACCCTGGCTGCTGCCATTTCTTCAGCGAAAGTGGTTGAAAAAGAGAAAGTTAAGGAGGATGAAGAAAAAGTCAGCTTTGAAACGATGGTCGCTTGCTATACCTTTTTTGTGGTTTTGGCCACACTCTTTGCGCAGCAGATCTGGAAGGTAGGAGTACGGTTGGTGAGAGCTGCCGCTCAAAGGCGCCAAGTTCCATCACCCGGAAGTCTCCCTCGATAACCGAAGCGAGGAGAAAAGACTACGAAAGGAAGCGTAGTTTCAAGCCATGGCGAGCACTCCGTTGTTGCTGCCCCCTTAACTGCCTCACCATCAACTTCTTCGTCCTCTTCTCTGCCACCACAGGTTCCAGTGAAAAGTGCTCCGCGACCAAAAGGAGTACCAAAGGTGAAAAGTTTTCCAAAGATGGGTCACTCGCCAAATGTGACACCATCACCAAGGGTTCAACAGCCGAAATCAAGATCACAGGGCTCAAACATGCCCACCGTTGAAGAGGACATCTTTGGAAGCTGGGATGAAATCGAAAGAGAGGAAGGACAGATCCGAATGGAGCTGAATGCTGCTGCACCAGGTGATCCGATTTTGGGTCCCATCGATCAACTGCCGGATGAAGAATTTCCAGATTTACCATTTCAGGTGTTTTCGACACGTTTTGGCGGAGTTTATCATTTGAGCCGAAGCTGTCGACATTTGGCTTCGGTGAACACTGGTCTGGCGAAAGAGTGTCTTCGACACGTTTTGGCGGAGTTTATCATTTGAGCCGAAGCTGTCGACATTTGGCTTCGGTGAACACTGGTCTGGCGAAAGAATCAAAATGGTGCAGTCGATGCCGACGCTCTGCCTTACAAAATGGATCAATTCCTGCTCTTGGTGCCACCCTGTTTCTGAGAGCGTACGGAAGTGTTGCACATTCAGATATGAGATGCCCTACAGCACTGGGATCGAATCATCTGCAACTGTGCACGGCATGTTTAGAAACTAAAAATTCAACAGCTTGAGCCTGGCTGAAAAGTGAAAGGTCCAAAGCGGATCTTTCAAGGGGGAGTGCTGTTGTGGCACCACCTTACCTTTCATTTTTGCATTTGCACATTTCAAATCCTTTAACCTGTCAGGTGCTGAACTCAACCTGATGCGTAGCTGTTTTTTTCTTCAAGGGCCCCGTGGCCAAACTATGCCCGCCAGATAGGGCTGCAAAGCAATGAGAAAACTAGAAGAACGAGCAGCTGCAGAGGCCTGGAGCCGAAGAAGGCTGGGAATTTTAGGTGGCTGGGCCTGGTGGAGCACTAGGGCTTCATCAAGTTTATTAATGATTATATTATATGGTATTATAGTATATATATATATACACATTGTATGTGAATATACTGTACATACTGGTGGTTCATGGCTCGGAGTAATGGCTTCGGCGTTTGCGACGGCGGGTTGTGCGATGGGCTCCACATTTGAACTTCCGCGGTCCCTCGACACGCGGCTCACGTGGCTCACGTGGCTCAACTGGCCTCGGGTGCACCTCACAAGGACCCGTCCTTCGATACCCGAGGTGACACCTGAGACCTGCACAGTTCACTTCAGTTCCCTTTTTCCATCGAGAAAGGACGATGGATAAATGATATGAAAAATTCAACGAATCAAACGTTAGGACCGTTAGGAGTTTCAGATAGGACTCATTATTATTCTCGAACAGATACCGTTCTGGGCAGATCTGGGGGTGTTTTGATCTTTGCTTGGAATCTTTCTGCTCTGATCATACCGCACGGCAAAAGAAAAGGCCTACCACAGGTCTTGCAGTTGTTCTGCGCAAGTACAGATGAGCAAATTCGCACTTTGGGTGCAGATATTCTGCGCGCTTTGCCTGTGAGATGTCCCAAGAAGTTGGCCGGAAGAATCGCGGAAACTCCCCCATTGGGACTTCAATGCATTTCAAATTCGGTGACTCTCGGGAAGTTTCCAGCTTCGCAACTCTTGATATACATTTGTCAGCAAAGACATGTTACCAGCTCAACCAGATGGCAAAATGTGGCCAGTTCAGTTCAGCTTCAGCTTTGTCCAGTGAAATTTGAAAGCTGTGGCGGAGGTGAAACCAGTGTTCTCTGCTGCTTGATCCATATTTTGACTTGGATTTCCGCTACCAACAAAGGTACACTAAGTACATCAAAGTACAACTCGTCTAAATTCAAACTTTGTTTGCCGCAGATCCACCAGGTTTGCAGTGACCATTGACCATTCTGCCACCTTTTCAGCCTCAAGAGCGTGCTCCGGCCATTGCCTGAGGAGGCGCTTGCAGTGGTTTAGAAATCTGAAGAAGTTTTTTTGAGCGTATTTAATCTTTGTCATCAAGGTACCTTTAAAGAAATGTCATGCGTTGGATTTGTGGCATGATACAGGGAACAGAGTTGTATGGCAACTCAACCAGTCAGACTTGGCTACACTGGAGGATTTTTGGACACCTGCGATGCTGGCTGCCCCTCTGAAGGCTCGAATGCCAGGAAATGTCCAAGCAGTTGCAGATTCCAGTTTGGGACCTTTATATTTTGATTTTGAGGTGCAGAGTAATTGTTCAGAGAATTGACTCCCTGTACTGTATATATATACAGGTATATATATATACATGTACATATATATATACATGTACATATATATATATATACACATGTACATATATATATTATTATATTATATTATATTATATTCTATTGTATTGTATTGTATTGTATTATATTACATTACATTATACTATATTATATTATATCATATCATATCATATTATATTATATTATATTATATTATACTAATTATATTATATTATATTATTTTATATTATATATTGGGTAAATTATAACGACCTCACTGCGCTCACTGGAATCATGGTTAATAAGGGAAATCATCCCAAATGGCCTTAATTCAGATTAGTGAAATCTTATAATTTATCCATATATACATATATATATATATGTATGATTATGACGGTATACTGGGGTTTAGCCTGTTTTACAGCGCTTGGTCATCCCTTTGCATTATTGCTGATGAAACAAGGAATTTCATAGAAGTTATCACGATTCCATAGAAGCTGTCATCGATCCAGAGAAGTTGTTGTCATCGATGTGCAAGCCCCGTAACAGCGTTCGTGCTTAACGTGTATATAAAAATCTGAAAGACTTGAACAAAGTACAGTATATGTATATGATTGTATATACATTTATACATATTACATATTATATATATACATACACACACCCAGGCCGGGGGTGCCACCCAGAGGTTTATCATGTCATGAACTCTTTAGGGTTTATCTAGGGTTTCATTCAGGTTGTTTCGGGTTTTTACTACGGTTTTACTTAGATTTTACTTTCAAGGCTTACTTAGAGTTTCATGTCAGATTTAGGTTTTAGGGTTTAGGATTTAGTTTTGTTTTTGTTTTGGAAACAAATCTCGTCAGCCATTTGGCCATTCCGCCGACATCCCAAAATGCATGCCCTGCGCTGTCAAAATGCACTTCCCCGGGCAACACCCCCGTCCTGGCCGCATACACATACATATCCACATATTACAGCGTGGTAGCTTCTGTCCAAGATTCTGTACATGTCTCAAAATCAATCTTGGCAGGGGATGGATGCGGAAGCATTGGCAGGTTCGAAGGGACAGGGACCATTCCATGTCGTTGGGAGAGCAAGCTCATTTGCTTTTATGGTCTTTGATAGCTCACTTCTCTGTGGATTTGGCGCTGTGGTTCCGTTGTGACACTTTTGGTTTCGTTTGACTGGAGACGGTTGGCGTTAAACACATCGCAGCGTTGTGAGGTGATGCGGAGCTGCGAGAGGCAAGGTAGTTCAGGTAGACCAGGTAGACCAGGTAGACCAGGTAGACCAGAACAGAACATCCCAGAACAGCCCAGAGCATCTCAACTTTGGCTCAACTTGAGCAACGACAAGAACACTAGTGAGTCACCTTGTGTGAGTCACTAGCAACCTTCAATTCTCCAACACGTGTTGCAATGCTAACAGAATTGCCCGGGGCTGACGTTTTGTTTGAAGTGAATGGGGGGCCAGTGTTGATACTAGCAGCAAACCTTGAAGTGCCGCAGCTTCTGGGACATGACATGCCAGGACTCCAAAAACACCAGTGTTTCAAACAGTTTGTCCATGTGTTTCTGCAGTCTCGGACTGTGTTTCGGACTGTGTCTTGAGCAGAGCCAGGCAATGCCGGACGATGTTTCAACGCCCCCAATGGGCACAGATGCGGGAGAGGCCAGCTGGTACCACTTGCGAGGGCAAACATCGCAAAATATAGAGTAATTAAATGTAATTGGATCATATTAGGTCATTGTTTGTTGGTTCATTGCCAAAATTGCAAGTCCTGTGATGTTGAATGCGCTTCTCGCTGTGCGATGTGGGTTTTGATTGTGCCAGCTGTTTTCCGGTCGCTTTTCATCCCTTCGTCGCCGCATCTCTGTCAGGACTCAAACAAGGATGAGCAAACTGGAAGCACAGGAGGCAGGTTTTTTCCCTGGCACCTGTGAAGAAACTTGAAGTGAAACTTGATCAAACAGAATCAAAGGATGTGAAAGACATTAAAAGACTGTAACATATATAAAAGATTATAAAAGCTTCAAACTCCTTCTGGAAGGCAACGAACTTTCAGTGTTTTGCCCACACTTCTCTTTGACACGAAGGGAAGGGATGCCTTTTTTTTTTGTAGCTCTTGCGTGTTGCAGCGTGTTGCAGTGCAGGCAGTGACTCGGATTCTCCAATGGTCTGGGGCTTCCCGAGTGCATGGACTCCATGGACCATGGACCAATAGCAAATTGGATATTATTAAATTATTACATTATCCATATATTATCCAGCAATCGATCCTTCCAGGCCAGCACGGCGCTGCCATCAATTGGATCAGCCCTGCATGCATCAGGGAAGTTGGGAGCTCACGGGGACCAAATTTGGAATGTCAAGTTGAATGTCATTGCAAACGGTTCTGTTGTCAGGCCGGGGTCTTTCTTTTCGCTGTGAAGGATTTCCCCTGATGCTAAAATTAATCTACAATCATTACTCGTAGAAATGCAGTCGTAAACGAGTGAGTGGCTTTCCTTTGCATCCACTTTCAAGGTGCAGCCGATGCTGCTTTTATTTGAAGGCATGGTTCTGTGCAGGAACATTCCAAGCTAAAGACTAGTCCACACAAGCCACAAGCATGCTGATTATACTGTGATCCGTAATGCAGTTGAGTGTGGTGGCAAAGTGGCAGAAGTTGCAACGGCTGTCGACAACATCATTTGCTCGGTCCAAGCTGTATGGATGGGACAGACAGACACTAACGAGTCTAACTCTTGCCACAGTGGACCCATGTGGACCCTGTCTCAACATGGATTGAGTTTTTCCATTCAAAGGAATCCGATACTTTCATCGGTAGACTTAACCTCCTGCTTCACGAACTGAATCATGCAGTCAATGCAGTTGTGGTTCAAACATGTTCAAACAAGAATTCTAACAGACCGATGCGAAATCTAATCAGCTCAAAACGCCAATCTGACGAATCTGACCTGTTCCTCAGCGGGTCCATGTCACAAATGTTGCTGTCATGGGAGCTGCGCTTGTGCTGCGGTGCAGTCCTGCACCAAGACTTGGGCATAGCAACACCAAAGTTGTACTGGCTCAACAGGATCTGTAGCAAGTAGATGCAAGTAGTACAAATACATTATACACATTACACATACTTCAGGTATGTACAAATATGATCGCATATGATGAGATATGACAAAATACTTGTCTCTACAACTGATAAAACACAATTCAAATACTTGAAGACATTTAAAGACACTTAAAGACACTGAACATGTGGATAGTTTTCATCATTTTCATAGTCTGCATAGTCTTAGTATGTCTTAGTGATCTTAGTGCATATACTGTGCAGGACCAGTGGACTTCAATGGACGACGCTGAGGTCCGCACTGTTGCCACCAACTGGGTGCCGATTGCGAGGAGGAGTCGATAGGCAGAGCCTCTAACGTGTCTCACGGTCTCGGAATGTCTCAGCTCACTTGGTTTTGCCATGTTTCGCCATCGTTTTCAAATCGAACTTTGAACGGTGCACCAAACGGTGCACCATGGTGCACCATGGTGCACCATCTCATGTCTGATCATTTATGTGGTTCTAGCATCCCATTTCTAAATAGGGAGTTGTATCATTTTGTATCTTTCAAACTCATTTGATGATTGAGAATGGGTCCCTGATCACCTGTGAGGCTTGGTGGGCTTTGAGAGCCTGAGTGTTCTCGATTGGGGACAGGGTCTGGTCCGCTTCTCAGGGATGGCAACAGATCGCAGATGATCGCAGCAGGATTTCCTAAGACTTGCAAACGGCTGACCTTGAAGCCGACTTGAAGCCTTGAACCCTCTTGATTTTCTTCAGAAGTACTAACCTCAAGTCAAAAAACAGCAATGAACTTGAACACTAGCAGGTAGTGCAAGACCCACCGAGCGTCACTGAAACGACTCTTACAGAATTTCTGTTAGTATTACATTGCCACAGTTGCAGAATTATTTCAGACCTGTTGTCAGAGTGGAAGATGGAAGACGCGCATTGCCACAGGCTAATGGAGAGCCAGTGGGGCGTATACTCCAGGGGACGCTCAATGTGAATGAAGTGGTAGCAGCCTAAGCTAGCAGTATTCAACTGTCACTACAGCTGCCAAAAAAGCTGGCTCGAATCGAATGGAACTCTGACACGCAAAGTTGTTTGAGTTCTTGTCAGAGTCTGTGTTGTGACAGTTGTGACAGTTGTGACAGTTGTGACAGTTGTGACAGTTGTGCCTTGCTTCATATGGGGAAAAGCCATTAAAAGCCATCATTGCATTTGATTGTTTCAGATGTTTCAGGACAGCGACCTGCTTTGCTTTGCTGCATCTTCGGCCCTGACCGTTGTGAGGTGGTTGCGTCCTTGGATACTTAAACCATGCCCCAGGATGCCCCAGGAACTCCTAGATTCATGGACATTCAACACATTTCAACACACCAAACATGCTGCTGCAACTGCTCGGGCTCGGCAAATGAAGACAGAGAGCAGCTGCAGCTTCCAGGGTTGAGTAATTTTCTATAGTTTACTTATTCTATACTTATTCTACTTTACATTCAAGATCATTCAAATTCATTCAAGCATTCATATATATTCACATAGAATCACGCAGGTATTCACACGTGCTTGGGGCTATTTCTGATTTGTGGTCTCAGTCTTCTCAGGCTATTGCGCTTGGGTGCTCGACCCGATGTATCAGATTGCAATGGCACAACAGTGCTCCATGCTGCAGGGGTCTGAGAAGCGCCGAATCGTCTAGCCTGTCTAGCAGTGTAGCGCATTGAGCTTCGAAGTCTTTGAATTCCTGGAATCATCATTCGAAGTCTTTGGAATCGTGGAATTGCCAGATTCGAATCGTATGTGCACGTGATGAGGCCTGTCGGTCTGGATCCCTCGCTGTGGTGTGTGGATCTCAGCTGAGTTTGATGAGATAGATTTCAGATGATTTCAGTAGATGAATATACTGTAGACATGCTACATATTAAACACAATCCAAATAAAGTGAATGGAGGCATGATTTTATATGATATAATGTATACGTCATGTTACAATGTGTATACCACACCCAGAGAGCTCACATGATTTAGGTGATTTAAGCACTTTTAGAGGATGCTGAATGGTGTGTTCGAGAAAAAATACTCCAACCTCGGAAAGGAATAGCACTATCTTAAAGGACTACTGCCGTGATTGTACTGCAGCACTTTCTCCAAATCGTTGAATTTCTTGCACTTTCGTAAAAGAGCGATACTGATTATTGTGGTGGAGTTATACTTTCTGCGAGAAAGAACCTTCTTCAAGGAAAACTGATTTGCATTTTCAATGCGGCTATACTTACTAAAACTACCGTGTTTCTGGTATTGATAGGCTCTCAAAGAGTGAATGGAGCATACTTCAATTGCACAGGGAAATGCTGCCTGTTTCATACCGCACTCCGTGACGAGAGCCCAACGGTGAGTCACTGCTCAAAATGGTGTTTGTTCATTGTTTGTTTCATTTGGATAACCTCTCAAAGTTTTAAAGCCACTTTCTAAACGGAAAGCTGCATGTATCAGTTGTGCTGCACTTCCTCAATGAATTTCTGTACTTTCTGACATAAATTCTGACACTTCTTCTTTCAGGCTTAGCATTTTTTGAATCTTTTTGAAGGATTACGGAACTCTTGTGCAGGAATACGAACTTTTCTTACAATTGAGTGCGCTTGCTAATGGAGATGGTGTACGTCTTTTGGGTGATTCCTGTACATTATCACGAAGATTCTCATTCTGGTAACAAAGTTTCTTTTACTCCATTACTTCTTTTGAAGATCATTGACTCCACATTTGTCAATGAATACTGCACTTTCCTGCGCGAGCCAGTGAATAATATTTTATTCTGCGAGATCCCTAACGGCATTGGTTCGGGGGTGCCAACATATCATGCATAACGATTTTGTAATATATATATATATCTATTATATTATATATATTAATTATGTATATACACATACATATTATACGTATGTATGAACATACGTCGCATATGTATGTACAAACAGTACAGTATTTTGAAGTGCTTTGTTTATTTTACATTACATAATATATATATATATGTATAACTATATTCTATTCTAGTACATTTTCCATGCCATTTTGCAGGAAGCAGTTCATCAAAGAGACAGCTTTGCTGAACAAGCCGGATGTTGCTTGGTTGCAGTGAAACACAGTGAAACATGTCCAAACAAAATAAGCTCTGGTTGATTCTGGTTGCATTTGCTCTGCCATCCCTTCCAAGGTTGCTGGTTGGACGCCCCTACACATTGCTGCGCACATGGGTCGTCGGGCAGTGGTAGTGCGGTTGATACAGGCTGCCTCACAAGAAGAGTCATGCAGTGCGCGCAGAGTGCAGAGTGTGTTTCCAGATTTTCATGGGAGAGCTCTGAGAGGCCAAAGCTATGCCTGGATTGGTGAACTCCAGAGGTCTCAAAGCTCCAGATCTCTGCAAGGCGACAAAGTGCAGTGACTCAGATCACCGTGCCACTTGCCACACTTGCCACGGTGTGAGCTGTGAGCTTTGAGCTGTGCTGCGTGTTTCAGGATACCGTCACCTACCAAGCGATCATCCGCAACATGGGTCCAGAACAGGCAGGGGCTGTGCTTTTCACAGCTCATGCTGTTGGGACATTCCGACCTGTGCAACGTATTAGTCTAAAATTCTACAAGCAATCTGAAGCCAAGCAATCTGAATGCCCAGGCAGATCCCAAACTCTTCACACAAGGCTCTTTGCACTGTCAACATATGTCAACAAATGTCAACATGTTCTCAACACATTCGGATTTTGTGTTCAAACTCTGCAATGGATTCCATCCGCTTTGTCGCAACATTTGCTGAAGTTGGACGGCAGATCATGGTCCCCAAGGTGTGTCTCTAGAGAAAACAGGGCTCGATACCCTTGCGGACGAGGCAGCACTTGTACTCAGCACCAACGTAGCTCTTGTATGCTTTTGCTTGTCTTTGATCCATGTCCTTTTAGGAAGAAAATGCAGACACCATTTGGGAAGCAAAAGGACATCATGAAAATTGAAGCCGAACATAGCTGAACAATGATTGGATGTCCCAATGTCAGAGCTTAATGCATCTTAACTGATTCTTGATGCATATATCGAAGCACAAAGAGGTGACATGAGGTGACCGAGGTGAGGTGATCCAACCTTTGTCCAACCTCTGTCTATGTCAATCTATGTCAATCTCTGTAATCTCTGGCAGGAATGTGAAGAAGCCTCTGATGATCTTGTTTTGGACTCAGGAGTTGGTTGATGTTGGTTGCTTTTGCATCTTTTGCCACAGCCACATTTTTTGTAGCTTTCGGTTGGATTCACGAAGCAGTAGATTTCGCATGGAGAAAATCCAAGGTTGGACTCCCCCAACAATGCGAGCCGGAGCTGTTCTTCGTCAATCCTAGGTGAAGCATGGTGAAGCTGTTCGATTCGCTGCACAAAGAGCTGTTCGATTCGCTGCTGTTCTGTTGCTGCTCATGACTTTAGGACTTGTCAAAGTGTCAAAGTGACCTCAGGCCTGTTTTCTCCCATACTGTTGCGCACAGAAAGGCTTGCTTCTTAGAACCTTCACGGATCTTCACGGTTTCAAAAATGCAATAGTTTTGCTTGTCCTTTCCAGTAGGAACCATTAGCCATCATTAGCCATTCCTTTATTTCTTGTTATGAGTCCACTTTCGCTTCTTTCATTTGATATGTTCTTTGCCAAGTGATTTCTTGCCACTAGACTCAGGCTCTTCTTGGGCTTGCAGCTGCAGTCTTTAACCTTCAGCAGGGGAGCAGAGAAACATCATTCTACGACGGCTTCCTAGGCAGTATCGGATCCATACAACAGGGTGATATGCAAGGCCTGAAAGGATTTAAAGAGGAAGTCCGCTCTCAACCAACAGGACTAGAGCCTCCAAGTTGCTTTCTTCCCGCCTGATTGAATCACTTCCCCATTCTGCAGTGTTCCAACAGCTTCAGAAGAGGTAGGACAAGACGTTACTGCGAATACTGCGACGGGAACAACATACTCCGCACCTCATTACATTTGAAGGGTTGCTCCATGTTGCTCCTGTCATCGAAGCTTGACGATTGGTCTCCGAGGACCGTAAAAGACAACACCTGATCAAAGTCAAGCACCGCTGCTAATTATTCAGATCTAATCAACATCTAAACACAAAAACATGTCTCTCCTTCATTCTCCTTCACATTTCTCGTCGTCCCGGTTCGACATTGTCGACATATGACTGCATTAGAATTAGACGTGGACAGCTCATCACAGCTCAAGGCCGAGTCATGGCCTTGCCCTTGTGGTGCTCACTGGTCTGGAGGAGGGCTACACGTCAGCCTGGAGCTTGGTGGAGCTAAATCAAGGATGAAAATGGATGAAATGATGAAATCCATTTCCAACATGACGGGCTCTCCTTTGTCGTTTCTTTTAAAGCTTTTCCCGTTTCAATGCTTTCAAAAACTTTCATGACGGGCTCTTTGCAGAATCCTTACATTCATTCGTGTATGGTGTAGCCAATTTGACCATTCTTTGCCACTGCCACTGACGCAAAAATTCCTTCATCCTCAGATTTCTGAGTCCTTCCTGGTCAAGTCCCCTCTGTCCAGGCAATGAAGGTTCTGCTGAAGCAGAACGTGAGCAAAAGACTCAGCATGATTAAGCCATTTTTGAGTCTTACTAAGCTACAGCATGCTACAGCCACTGAGTAAAACCAATCTTCCAAGTAGCCAGGAGATCAAGAATTCAAGGTCGAACGATGGCTGGCAGCTTCTTGGGTGAGCCGCTGTCTGTGCTGCTCTTAAAAGCTACAGAGCAACCGGCAACAGGTGGTCAAACGTGGCATCAATCCATCCTTGTTCTGTGAATAGACTTGTGTCACTTGTATGATGGTACTTGCACATCTTGCGTTGACCTCAAGGTATGTCCATTGATTCGCTTTAGTTTTTTCGTTCCAGACTCAGAACTATGTCTCGCGAAGGCTTAAAATCGAAAAACTTCAGGCTTCACTTCATTAGGTCATCATAGAGGCATTGCTTGGCAGTAGGTCTCTTGAGAACTTCAAGACTACAACATACTGCAACCAAAGTGTGGGATCTGCTGTACTTTTCCATAGTTTTCAGTGTCCTCATCAGACAGCTTGTTTGTGTTGCCCTCGAAATGATCTTTATGCTTAACATTGCTTGACAACTTGACAGAACTTCATCAGCTTATATCAGCTTTAGCGCCTCAGGATTCTTTGCCAATGCTAAATACCGGTGTCATTTCATGCTTGAGGACTGGTTTCTTGTTGATCAGCTGAAGCATGCTCAAGCGACGTGACAGTTGAAAAAGGTTGAGAAACGGCCCAAGATGTGGCAGGACAATCTTCTCCGCATTGGGCATTCCAGAGGATCGCCGGGCCTTGTGCTACCCCATGTCGCCCAAACCCGCTTCAGCTCCTGTAGAAAACTTGCCTTATTTTGTCTTCATGAGGGATAGATCAATGAATTTTCCACGCATCCCAAGGGTCCTATTGTATGCCTATCGATCATCCATCCGAAATCCGAAAATATGTCGATGGAATATGTAGGAACTCCAGAAACTCGATCGAATTCTTTGGGCCGTCGCCAGCGTATGGTGTCAGCCTTAGCAGATGCAGTGGCTGATTTTCGGGAGCATTGGAAGTTGCAGTATTTCTTCATTGCCGAGCAACACTGAAGAGAAAGAGGTCTTGTCTGCCAGAAGCTCTGGACACACCCCGAGTTTATCCCGATTTTGAGGTGGCGAAAGCACAAAGCTCTGAAAGAAGCTGGACGGGTGCGGAGCTCACCAGATACAGCTTATCCTCTGCTGTGTTGAAGACAACAACAGATATTGTTAATATATAGTTGATCAAAATGATATTAAATAGTAAATTGCTTTTTGAGCCTCAACTTGGGACAAACGTTGATTCCTCCACAGACAAGTCAAGCTGATCGGGGTGAAGCCCAACAAGTTTGCATGACTCCGACGGGTGAAATGAACCCGAATCCCAGATTTCTTCATTACAAGTTGGTGAAGATTTGGCGCACATGGGGCCTGGAACAGACTTGAGCCGTGGCTTCTCAGGCTGTACAGCCCAGCAGACGAGTTTCCAAGATTCCGTCGACTGAATTAAACGGGCTTGGGGCCTGGGAGCTTATGAATTAAAGATAATTAAAGTGAAATCGCTGTCACTGTACGTTTTTGGCATTTTTGGCATTGCATGTTCATGTCCTTGTGCACATGCCTTGACAGGATGGAACTTTTTCAGTATCTTTCTGGTCAAGAGGCCCTGGTAGGATGTACAATGTACTTCAATGATCTTCAATGTATAACTATAGAACATGCATGAAATTGCATGAACATTGTACAATGTACAACATGCTGGATGTACAACTGCAGTAGCCTGTGTTTCGTGCAGTAATCCTTCGACATGTTTGTCTTCGTTTGTGCTCGTTCAGAGTAAGACCCCGGAGGCATTGTATCAGCTCATGCTAAGCACCTTGCTACTTCACCGGCGAATCTGGGGAGGCAAAGAAGTTTTTTTTTGTTTTAAACCACCTGCAGTTCATCGCTCTTGAAGCCCGAAAGCATCTGGAAACATTGTCACCTTATGTCACCTTTGCCAACTCCATTCTGACGATTCTGAACTCTGATTCTGTCTGCCACGTCTGCCATGTTTGAGGCGCCAACAACATGCCAACAGGTCCCATGGACTTCGAGGCTCGCCGCTTGCCATTCCTCCTTGGCCGAGTGTCGGAGTGGGGGAGTGGCCGTGCAGCCAGGAATGGGCGGAGTTGAACCAGGGAATTGAGCGGCAGGGTGAGGACAATGTGTTGTTTTCTCAGCGTAGCTAAAGTTAAAGCTGCTCAGACCTGACGGCTGCGCCCAATTTTGCTGACCAGCTGCGTTTCATCTTGACCCACTCAGGCCCTTACATGTCCAGAGCAAGATCTACAACGTGCGCGACTTAGGTCCTGGAGACGCAGTGGTGTTGTAGCGAGTCTGTGCTGAACTCTCAGTTCATCATAAGGACATTGTCAGTTTGCGTGTGCCTGAACTCTGCATTTGGCCAGCAAACGAGGTGCAGCTGAAAGAATTGGTACTGAATCATCTGAGCATTGATTGAAGCTCTCAATGGTCACTGCTTGAGCTATCAAATATATTCAAAATATCGCGGTCTTCACAAAGCATATAAAGCTTCTACTGATTTCCACTGTTTGGATCCGTTTGGATCCTAATTTCTGTGGGCGCAGGTCGTCGTACTTTCTGAAAACATTCCAGAAGAGGCCCTTCCAGGCAACACGACTTGAACCCATCATCCGATTCACTTTTCTCCAATTTTTCAGTCTTTTTCACACGCCACTTAAACAATTTTTGAACCATTTTGAACCTATTATCAACAAAATTCAACAAACGTCAAGCCGAATATCAGACATGTTCCCAATTTCGACAGCTCATTTAGAATTTCTAAATCCTTTGGAAGGACCTGTTGGCCAAATCGATATGGTCTTGCAGAAGGTCAGAAGCTCTCTTTGATTGCATTTGCAGTTGATTAGAAGGGATGCTGAACCCAGTTTCCTGAAATGTCCGTTTGGGATTGCCATGAATGGCGGCTTTCTTTTGTGGATGTTGCAGATTGTTGCTTGCCAGAGCAAGTTGTGATCGGCTTGAGGTGATTTGAGTAAATTGAGAATGGTTGAATATTCACTTTACAATTAATTATAATTTATTATATATAGTTGTAAAATGTTATAAATATAAATTATACATATTTGATCCGTCTTCATCGTCGTGATGCTGCAGCAAGCTGTGTCTCGTGAGGCCTATGCTGCTGGTGTGCCTTCCTGAGTGAATAAAGATGAATATCTCGCTGGTTCGCAAGTTGAACCGTGAAATGCCGAGACATAATGTCAACCAAGGAATCTGCTCTTCAGCATAGGGCCATACTGGAAGGCAAGAAATGTCATTGCTGAAAAAAGAGATACAGAACAGATATGAACAGATACTAACAGATACAGAACGTAGACATAGACGTACGCTCAGATTATATTCACAGAGGCACATGACGATCATGACGCACCAAGCACCCCTCCCATTGTCCACTCCCCTTGTCGAGAGGGAACCCAGATGCTGGACATTTTCACATGGATCGACGATTGGATTGCACTGAATTGAAGCAATCAAGAGATTGTTGAAGCCAATTAAGACACCCGGACTTGAAGAAGGACACTTACATAACCACTATATGACGCTGTGTCTGGAGGTTGGCTGTGGGTCTACACCAGTGCCCTCTTGCCCGGGTCGTTGGGTAGTTTGGGTCTCAATTTCAGCTGAGTGTCTATTCAAGCCCATAGCCAGTCTGCCAATCTGTGAAGTCCTGCAGAAAATGCGCAGAAGATGCCGCTTTGAAGACCAAACTGAGATCATCTTGCACGGAAAAGACAGAGAACACAACGTTTTTGGCTTTCACAAGGTTCTGAATGCGCCCACACGTTTGCGCAGGAGGAAGAGGAGCTCTCAAGTTCTTTCATCTTTTTTCAATGGAGGGTCCCAAATGTGAAGTATCACATGTTGATCATTGACTCATTGATCTTTGCACTTCAATGGCAAAGTCAATTTGGTCTGTGCCTAGCGGCCTAGCAGCGCCTCATGCAGGTTGAAGTTCCAGATGGAAGCATGCATCGTATTTGGGGAAGCTTGTGTTGGACTCCTGGTGCTAAGTGCAGCTCAAGCAACCGGATTTTCGCCAACACGTTATGTGCTGAGGCAGCATGTGTCTTGTTTTCTCCTCGCAAGCTCCTGGCACCGCTGTACCACATGCTGCTCCGGAAGCAAAAAGAGATTTTGGTGGGGCGACGCGGCGACCATTTACAACAGCAAAACATAGTGAAAGCATAACATTTTGCATTCATTTTGTTTTTTTCTTTGTGTATCTTTGCGCATTTCCAATTGATTTGGCTTGTAAGCCTTGAAGCTACTCTGCCAAGGCTATCATTGATTGCCGTGGACTGCAGTTCCTGGAAATTTCCCATCAGGCGCACAACCAACACTGTTGGTCCAGCACGGTATAGCACGGTGATTTTCTGAGCAGGCGAAGACTCTTACCCTGGCAGTGAAGCAAGGGCCAAAGCGTTTTCCCACCTTCTAAGACCAGACGTGAATTATCGTAAATTGAAGTAAATTGATTTTGTATGTTTAGATTTTGGTTTAGTCATAAAGCTGAGGCCAATAATCCCAGAGTGTTTGACGACCAGGCACAGAGTTGCAGTATGTTGCAGTTATGTATTATGTGCTTGGACTGTTCGTTTGTTTTGACAGAAATCTTTACAATTGCAGCCATTTGTGGATATGTTCAAGATGTTTTGTACAGTCGTTCTCGCTGCATTTGAGGCGCACGGGCGACGAGCTGCTCAGGCGCCATGTCAGACATGTCATGTCCGAGAATGATCCATGACGTGACGTAGTCCCGATGTAGTCCCGATGTAGTCCTTTCTACCACTTTTTTTTTACTTTTCTACCAGCAGTTTCGATATGATGGCTGTGTGCAGGGCTGCCAAACTGCTGCCAGATGGTCGATGGGAGGAACCTGGGATACCACATATACTACGACAATCGCGCACACAACGGTCCTTTGATCGATGAAAACACATGGTGCCCCTTCGCTCCTACATCTCCCACGCAGGAGCTTTGCATGCAGAAACTCAAGATGAGTTTCGAAAATGCAGAGGTTCTGGATCACTGGGTAACTTGCCACAACTTTCCTGAGATTTTGGCAGATTTCAGATCCACGCTCTTTCTCCCTGCATTGCCCAGGTTCAAGCATTGATGCAAAAGCCCTGTGAGACTGCGTTGCTGAGCTCAATGAAGAGATGGCTTCTGTGCAGCAGATACAGCAGCCCATAGAAGTACCAAATTTTACTTCGACTGGTTGTGTCCTGTTCTTCACTATTGCGTTTGCCCTGCCCCATGTTTTCATGTCTGTAATCAGCCGTGAGGTTCAAATGTGCGTGGTTCAAATGTCCCATTGAATTTCTCAAGTGCTCAGCAATCAGCAATCAGATGCAATCAGATTGCAATCAGCAATCCATCACGATCCATTCGGTTTTGGATCTAACGAGCTCTCATTTCCCCAAGGCTCCCAGATCATTTGCAAAGCGGTTGTGTGTTGCGAGCCCGTCCAAGACTCAACACGTCAGACTCTTCACAGAACGCAGATGAAATGATTTCCACTTGGAATCTGTATCAACGTAGGTGACTATAGTTTGTCAAAAAAAGTGATATTCTCGTATATTCTCGTCCATCCAAATCCATTTGTGTACCTATTATTTGTAGATGTTTCAGACCCAAGTGACCCCATGTGCCGCATTGATGTGCATCGATGTGCATCGATGTGCATCGATGTGCATCGATGTGCCTTGTGGCGGGGTCACGTGGCAGTGAAGCTCAAAGGTGCAGATGCCGTCTCGTCCGCCTTCAACGTTGCTGAGCCCGCCCCTGTCGCTGGGTTGAGCATGGGGAGTCAATGGAGACGATAGACTCGATAGACTCGATAGACTCTTGGTATCTAGTGGACCACTAGCTGGTCCTCATAAGATTACGTTGCAAGAGTCCAAGTGTCAGATGCAAATCAATGGAACGAGCAGAGAGGGGTCACTCACCAAGACCTCCGTAAGATGATGAATATATTCTGATATGAATTACATTGAATTACCATGAAATCATTTTTCAGCCTGGGGCAGCTTTCCTTGCTATTTGCTGCATTTTGGAGCTAGAATCTCCCTTGTGTGGCTTTTGTGGCTTTTGGTGGCTTCTTGGATCTCGTAGCTTTAATGATTTAATACTTTATTTTCACAGCAGGGGCAGGGGCAGGCTGATTTAATACTTTATCATATGATTTTTTAACCGGCCCCCATTGCTACCTACTCCTGCCCCTTTTTTTCTATAAGCATCGTTTATTTGGGAGTCGTCCTAAAACCCATGCAAGGCTTTTAGTATCCGAGTGACATCTGCAGATATGGATGTGTATGTTTTGCTGCAGTGGCGAAAGGCCGCGAAAGGGCGGCGTAAGGTTCGCGAAAGGTCTGAACACCATTATATATTACTTATAAACCTATAAGTAAACGAAAACCTGATCATAATCTCATGTCCCGATTCTGCTGGGGCGCGAAAGGGCGCGAAAGGTTCGCGAAAGCGCGGCGTAAGGGCGTTTTCGGGTACCATAATTTTGGACAACTCCCATTTGGGTTCATCTGATCTTTCTTAATCTAGACTGCCTATGTGCTCCTTTCTTGGTACGCCCCCACCCGCTTTTATTTTTTTAAATCGGCTCCCCTTGCTACCTACTCTCATTATTTGTTTCATAAGCATCGTTTATTTGGGTTCATCTTATCTTTATTGATATCCATCGATACTTGTGCCATCTTGTGCCCATGTACTTCTTTCTTGGTACGCATTGCGGGGGCAGGCGCTGCGCCCTCCCCCCTGCACCCCCTCACCCGCTTTTACTTTTAACCGGCTCCCCTTGCTACCTACTATTCTTTTTTTCATAAGCATCATCGTTTATTTGGGTTCATTTTATCTTTACTGATATCCATCGATACTTGTGCCTATGTACTTCTTTCTTGGTATGCATTGCGGGGGGAGGCGCTGCGCCCTCCCCCTCACCCCTCCACCCGCTTTTATATTTTTTAATCGGCTCCCCTTGCTACCTACTCTCATTTTTTGTTCATAAGCATCGTTTATTTGGGTTCATCTTATCTTTCTTAATCTTTATTAATATCCGATGAATATCAAAGCGTACTACACGCCTCGACCTAAGTCTTGGTAGTTGCCGTGCCTGACGTGTGCAAAGTTTAATTACTTTAATTATGCTTTTTGCGGGCTCTCATCCCAGGGGCATCCCTTTGAAGAAACTCCGCCTGCGATGCCTACGAAAGCGTCCTCTGCTCCGCCGGCGACAGGCGGGATTGGCAATCTGTCCATATGAATTGGTGTGCTTTCATACCTTGTCCGAGGTGCCATGCATGGTGATTGTGGCGCCGGGAACTTCTGTAATGCAACGGACGGGGAACAGCAAAAGGCGCTCCCCGCTCCACTGCCAGCTCATGCGCGAGGAGGCGCGAATGGATCAGTGCTTCATGCACGTTGAAACAAAAATAACTCTTTGGCTTGGAGGCCTACACCCCGAGCGCGAACGCCAAGGACGCGGGGTTGGATTGGCGCCCATTCTTGTTCTTCTAGCAGAGGCGCGGAAGTTGACTTTGAGTGTCACTTTAGCAGCCATCACCAGAGATAACTACTAACAAGCACAGTTTCTGAGTTGCTTCGAGTGCAGACGGCCGGCAAACAACCAAGCCTGTCTCACTTTTGCACTTTAAACACCTGCGCCACCAGGCCCGGGGCCTGAGCCGATGTAGCAAACGGCACGCGGTTTCACAAGAGCAGATAATTTGGCACCAGTTGGGAAAAAGGCAAGTGGGATTGACCGTCACCACGCGCTTTGCTGCGCAATCCAGACGAAGCCTTACTTCCATGAAACGACACTCCGGCTTCCTTTGTAGACAATCTTGCTGCGCGGTAAAGACATCATTATGCGACGTGCCATCTGCAGCATTTGGCCTGCTCAAATCTTCGCGGCAGTATTACCTCTGCAGCATGGCGCACGGGTGCCCGAATTGCCGTCAGGCAATCACTGCGACGGCCGATGCCTCAGATCTGCATTCGACCATAGATACAAATAGTAATAGTCGATCGTTTGCGCTGAGGTGCAGCTCTATGGGGTGCAGGGCGGTGAGCGCTGCCCCATCTGCTTTGAGGCAGAATGATTGGTGTCTAATTGGTAATTGATTACTGTAGCTCCACGCGAATTTGCCGGCCAGGAGAAGTTGGAGCCGCATTGCGTTGTGCCGTGCGGGCACACGTTTTGCGGAGACTGCGCCAAAGCCGTGCTGGAACGCGCGCTCCTCAGAAATTTCTTCATATATCGCTCCACTCCAACCTGCCCTGCCGCTTGAGGAGCCACGCCGTAAAGCCGCCCGCGCCTGGGGGGTACGAGCCGTGGTGCCACAATGCCAGCATCCCTCACAACCGGAAGCTTCTTTCTTGGCACGCATTGCGGGGGAGGCGCTGCGCCCTCCCCCCTGCAACCCCCCACCCGCTTTTATTTTTAACCGGCCCCCCTTGCTACCTATTCTTTTTTTCATAAGCATCATCGTTTATTTGGGTATCCCCGTTTGGGGCTCCTGGATGGAAAACGGTGAGCTGGAGCCTCATTTTTTAACCACATTTCAGCCAAATTTAGGCCCCAGAATGTTGGGCCTCAGCTTTTTATCTTTATATAGGTCCCTTTTTACATATTTTAGAATTTTGATTTTAAATAAACCATGAAGCCAAAGGATTTCATCCGAGGGAACACCTCTTGAGAGCATTTTTGCAATAGGTTGGGCACAGGTAGTTTCAACCACTGAAGCTTACGGAGAACCATTTTTGGCCTGAAGGTTGCACACAGGTTTTCATTCGACCGTGTCTTCTTGCAAGGCTCGACATTTTTGCCGCCTATACGGTGAACATTGAAATTTTGAGAGGTGTATCTTGGGAGGTTGGATGAGGATGGGTTTGCAAAATTGAGTCATTAGTCGTTTGTGTTGTATCTTGGGACGTTGGTGCAGGATGGGTTGGCTCGCATGCGTGGTGTAACATGGCAAGCTGTTCTGGCAAAGTTCAAAACAGGGATGTGTGAGATGAAAAAATTCGGATCTGAAGTTTGTAGTCTGTTTTGGGACGTTGGTTCAGGATGGGTTGGCTCACATGTGTGGTGTAATATGGAGAGCTGCTCCGGCAAAGTTCAAAACAGGGATGTGTGAGGTGAAAATCTTAGGGTCTGAGGTTTTGGTGTGTATCTTTGGAACGTTGGTTCAGGGTTGGCACACATGCGTGGTGTAATATGGAGAGCTGCTCCGGCAAAGTTCAAAAGAGGGATGTGCGAGATGAAAATCTTGGGGTCTGACATTTTGTGGTGTGTCTTCAGGATGGGTTGGCACACATGCGTGGTGCAATCTGTTCCGGGTTGTTCCGGCAAAGTTCAAAACAGGGATGTGTGAGATGAAAATTTTCGGATTGAAGTTTGTAGTGTGTCTTGGGACGTTGGTTCAGGGTTGGCATACATGCGTGGTGTCATCTGTTCCGAGTTGTTCCGACAAAGTTCAAAACAGGGATGTGTGAGATGAACATTTCGGATTGAAGTTTGTAGTGTGTCTTGGGACGTTGGTTCCGGATGGGTTGGCACACATGCGTGGTGTAATATGGAGAGTTGCTCCGGCAAAGTTCAAACAGGGATGTGTGAGATGAAAATCTCAGGGTCTGAGGTCTTGTGGTGTGTCTTTGCAACATTGGTTCAGGGTTGGCACACATGCGAGGTGTAATCTGTTCCGGCAAAGTTCAAAACAGGGATGTGTGAGATGAAAAAAATCGGATTGAAGTTTGTAGTGTGTCTTGGGACGTTGGTTCAGGATGGGTTGGCACACATGCGAGGTGTAATCTGTTCCGGCAAAGTTCAAAACAGGGATGTGTGAGATGAAAATTTCCGGATTGAAGTTTGTAGTGTGTCTTGGGACGTTGGTTCAGGATGGGTTGGCACACATGCGTGGAAAACAGGGATGTGTGAGATGAAAATTTTCGGATCTGAAAATTTGTAATGTGTCTTGGGACGTTGGTTCAGGATGGGTTGGCTCACATGCGTGGTGTAACATGGAGAGCTGTTCCGGCAAAGTTCAAAAGAGAGATATTAAAATACGGACCACTTCGGAATCTCCTAGGCTACTTGGAGAAAGTGTTTCCAAGTATTTACATGCCAACAAGGCATCAGTTGAAAAGCCTTGGCAGACACAGAAGCTGGGTGGGATGAAAAGGGTGTGGTTGACCGTTCTCTGGGGAAGTTTTGATTTTATAGTTTAAGGCTAGGTTTTTTTTTTGAACACACGCTGAGCACTGCTGTTTTCATCTCTTGTGCCATTCTTACTTTTAATTTTCAACGTACCCCAGAGACACTGAGTTTAATCTTTTGTACCTTGATTTTTAATTTTCAGAAATAGGGGTGGGGTCGGCTTTTCATCGTTTCACTTTTTTTTTCTCATACCTTGGCCCTCCAGGTGTTTTTAAACTAGGTGTTTGGGATGAAAACTTGGTGCTGCACCCTAAGTTGAACGCCCAACTCTTTATTGATATCCATCGAGACTTGTGCCGGGAGGGCGCAGCCCCCACCCGCTTTTATTTTGTAACCGGCTCCTCTTGCTACCTACTCCTACGCCTTTTTTTTCATATGCAGATGCATCGTTTATCCCAGGTTCATCTTATCTTTATTGATATCTATCGACACTTGTGCCTATGTGCTTCTTTCTTGGTACGCAATGCGGGGGGAGGCGCTGCGCCCTCCCCCCTGCACCCCCTCCACCCGCTTTTTATGGTCCAAAAGGTAATTTCCAACACGAAGTGGTTTCCTAGAACAGATTCATATCTACCATATATTCATGCCTGTAACGTGTTTCCGAACCATTGATATGCATGGGTTTGGTTCCGCCCCCAGAGCGCACCAACAATTGCTGCTGTTGTGGCCTTTGCTCCCGAAGTCCATAGCTCAACCTGTAGCTCTGATCATGCAAAGAAATAGACCTATGATCCTAAGTCAATAGATATATGAACAAGTGAAGAAGTAAGTAGAGATAAATTTAGATTTAGATATAAATAAATGAATATATAAAAACATAAATAAACAGTATAGATAATTAAAAAACAAATAAATAAACAAATAAATTTTTAATATATATGTATATATATAGTATATAATATATTATATATCTAATGTTATACAATATATACATTTAGATGTACGTATATATATATAATTTAATATAATATAATTTAAAATAATATATAATATAATATAATATATTATATTATATAATATAATATAATATATTATATTATATTATATAATATATGTGATGATTGGAAAAACCGATGGGAACCATGGAAAAAACGATAGAAACAAATGGACAAATCAATGCAAACCATGCAAAAAATCGAGTAAAACCATGGAACAATCGAGTAAAACCATGGAAAATCGAGAAAACACATGGAAAAATCGAGTAAAACCATAGAAAAATCGAGTAAAACCCTGGAAAAATTCGAGAGAAACCATGGAAAATTCGATGAACAACGCAAAACAAAATTATCTCCAAAATGCAGCAAATCACAGATTTTAATTCCAAAATGTAGCAAAACGCAAGGAAAAGTGCCCCAGACCGAAAAACCAAAAAAAATGCACCCTTATATATTATAGATATCTCTTTTGATCACTGACTTGACCCACCTGCCACCAAGGATGACATTGTGCTGCCTAGAGGAGAGCCGATCTTTTCACAGGACGAGTTCGACCCGCACACTTCAACACTCGAAACAACATGTGACTGCCTGAGCTGGTCTCAACATGTCTAAACTTAGTCACAACATGTCACAACTTCCGGAACATGTGATCTTCTCTGAACATCATATTCATTAAACATATTCATACGTTGTTGTGTCATGTTGTGTCCCCTCTGTTGATATAGTACTAGAGCAGGACAAAGACGAGGAACTTCACGAAGCATCGTTTGTGGGTCGGGACCCTGGCATAGGTCCAGTGCGTGAAACACCATGGAGAGCCAGAGCGTCAACACATTTGTCAGGTGTTCTTTGAAGAACTCGCAGGCAGGATAGTGACACTTGCGCCGAGACCCGGTGGAGAATGTTTTTACTTGGCATCAGACACTTTCCTACGGCTTATCTTCGTTTCTGAAATACTGAGCTCATTGCTTGGTGGAAAACGAAGGAGAGGGCCGTAGGAAAGGTGCGGAGCGTTGCCCTTCTTCTCAGTCGGTGCGGCAGAAACCGTGCCGGTCGACGAATCAGCACAACTTGCAACCAGAGATTTGCAAATTTGCCGATCAGCTTACTGTCACACACATTTTCACACATTCTTAAACATATCATGTGTTTCTGTTTGACAGTTACATCATGCTATAATGCTATATCATCCTTATAACCCAAACCCAGGGGCCCACTTATCTTCCTCCTTTCAAAACTCTGGTTGTTTCACCTTGTAGTAGATGCAGATGGCATAGTGAGCCGCATCAAATCGACTCCAAAAAATGAGGGCTGACACAGATCCAGCATTCGGTACGATGTAGCAGCAAGCAACCCAGCAATTTGTGCAAAGCGCGAATATCCTGGAATATCTTCTGAAGCTGGAAGTGCGTCGCTGCTGCGCTTATGCCTTGCTTATGTTCTCACCATGGTTCTCCCAGTTCTCCCAGTGTCCTTTCATAGACCCAAGACTTTGCTGCCATAATGGAACCCTTGCCAGAATCGCTGCCGCAACGGGATCAATTGCCAGTCGGGGACTTATGCCTAGGCCCTGCATGGCCCTGCAGGGCATAAGATGCTGATCAAAGCAGCATGAAATTGTATCAGAAACGTCACGGGAAATAGAGGGAAGGCAAGTCCCTGCAGTTTCTTTCGTGGACGGGGATGCATTAGACTTGACTCTCTGATTATGTTTCCTGCCCCATGGGCAGGGATTCTGAAACATTCTTAACAATACCAGAAAGTTTCTGGGTGAATTGGCACATCTACGACATATCCATGGCTCATCCGACTTGTCCCGCAGAGATAGACTTGATACCGCTGCAAACGTTTGGGCTGAGGTTCTGCCACCTTCCACATGAACGACGCAGCAGGGGTAGGTGCAACATGAGCTGATAGCATCTGATAGTGTTCCTGCAACGAAGTCTTTTAGTTATTCTGACTTAAGTTTCAAGATGTTTAAAGCTTTGTCTAATGATGGTAATGATGTCTAACTAACGCAACAAATTAGATTTGCTGTAGACATTTTTTTCACATCTGCAGACCTCAGGGGTTGCCGAGGGCACGGCACCAGCAAGCTGACAGAAGCACAGGACGTCAAGGAGATCTGCAGATGCCTTGACAATGTTTTACTATTTTTTAAAAGGACACACACATATATATATATATATACACACTTTATATATTTTGTTTTTTCAATTTCATGAGAATAGTACTGACATTGACATATTGATAGTATGGCAAGGGCATGTTGGTGGACGTGGACCACATGGACCACATGGACCACATGGATTTTATGGAAAATGTGTAACAAAATGCACAGAACTTCGACGGCAACTCTGACGGAGGATGCGATCCTCCCTGGACTCATGCGACCACCGCCTGGATTGGGTCTGGGCACGGCACTCAGAGATGTCCTCCATTTCGGTTGACCACGGCATAAGTTTGAAATAGATTCCACCAGCCTGTGAACATCCTTGAATTACAGTTTCCGCCCACATTTTCCATCATTTCCCCCTTATCTCAACATATTAATATCTCAACTATCGTCAACTGGGAAACTAAACCGCCAACCCTTCGCAGTACCACCGGTACCACATGGCCTACCACATGCACCTCCCGGCTTGGACAGCCCAAAAGGCCAGTCATGTCTTTGTTTCGCGTTTTGGGGGGAGATATCAAGTCAACAGTTCGTTACTGGCACTAATTACTAATTGTAGTTGGAGAATGTTGAAGCAAAACGGCATATAAATACAAAGATTTAATGTAAATATTTAATATTAAAAATAATATAATTTGATAGTGGTTATGGCTGCAGGGTCAGAGTCCTTAAGCTAGGCATTTGCTTATCCGGCATAATTCAACCAGGCTTCGGTCACATGACCTTGGCGGTGCCTTGGCAGACATTGTCGACCAGTGATCACCAGCTGTGTCGTGATTTGGCACTCCCTTCACTGCTCTTTTGCCTTTTTTTTCACATGACTCACATGACACATCCTTCACATATCTTCAGATCCTTTCACTTTCTTGTTCTTTGTGAGATTTTGTATCCATTCGTCTCCTGCTATAGTAATAGTTGGGTTTTGATTTTTGTGGTGACAGTTGGCGGTCCCTCTGATGTGTCCTGCCCCATTCACCGTTTTTCGTAATCCATGTACAGAAGGCTGTATCCATTTGGCATATCTTAGATTTGTTTTGCTTTCTTGTGATTCATCTGACTTCACCGATCCAGTGTCATGTGTGGCCCAGCAGTTCAAGGCTTACAGTCAGCCGCCCACACCGCAGGCTGGACTTCTTACAGATGATTGTCCTTTTGTTTTTGTTAGTAAATCATCCAGTCGGGGCATCCTAGGATCAATCTTTTGCTTTTGCCTGAAACTCCTTTCCCTCGTTTTCACAATGATGACCGTTTTGAATTTCTGTATTGAGCCATGAGCGGACTTTCTGTGATTTCGAAGCTTCAGACCTGGCAGGGAGGGCCGTTGGCACCAGCTCGCATGGCGATGAGCCTGCCATCCACACCCAGTGGAGCGATCCCTGGAAGGTGCCAGGGCAGATGCGAATTCGCAAGTCCAGAGAAGTTGGACAAGTTGGGAAGATTTGGGAAGATTTGAGACGAGTTGGGAGACTTCAGAGAGCTTCACTTTGAATCTCTTGAGATCTCTGTCAGATCTGAGAATCTCTCGTCAGATGACAGAAGGACCTCACCAAAGACAAACCTTAGTGACCTTCGATTCTTTGATGAACCTTTGATCTCTGATCTGTGATGATCTCTGTCAGAATTGGACGAATTGGACGATCCAAGGTGCCTCACTCGGACGGCTCCTCCTGCACCGCCTTTGCTTCCTCCTTCCGGTCCTCCGCCGGAAGTCCCAGACTGTCCAAACCTTTCCAAAGCTGCACACTCAAAATGTCTCAAATTTACAATATAATTGATAAATATTGACAAAAAAATATTCAATTTCATTCAATTACATACTGTATGTAAAAAACTTATCACCTTGTCACCTTCATTGAATTCACCCTCACCTCTTATCTTGAATGACTCAGATTGCTCAAAGCATGTCTCGACTCACGAGACCTGACGTGCGCTGACTGAGGAGAGGACTGCCTCAGGATGATGACAAGGCCAGGGCTCAACTTGTAATATATTATAATTACTGACTTATATTACGCATATATATATATATGATTATTTTTTTATTTATACTTTTACTTATATATATATATGATTTATGACTCTATGACCTATGTAAGCATGTGCAAGCTGTTTTATCAGAATAACTTTTGTCAAGTCTCACATTCCGAAATCATAGAAAATGTTCATGTGAGCGATGATGGGCGATGGATCCAGCTTCTCAAGCGCGTCGCTTCAGGCGCCGCCCCCTCCAGAAAACTCTCCAGGTGGCTTGTGCCAGGCTCCCACGCTGACGCTGGGAACCCAAAAGAAATCAGAGCTCCGTGTTTTTTGGTTCCATCATTTTCATCCATTGTCTACTTCACATCAAATACTTTGCAAATACATGCGCGACGCGCCACAGGACTGACACAACTGTACTGTGGTAACGGTGCTTCCAAAACATTCCAAAACTATAGAGTTTCCATTCGTTTTCTCTTTACATGATTCATCAAGATTATCAATATTCATTATGATTCCATTAGAATTTGATGTGTTTCGATGTGTTTCTCTTTGCTCAAGAGTTTCCAGTTGAGGCCGACAGCGCTTGCAGCACCGGGAACTCTGCTGACCGCAGCTGCACAGGCTGCAGAGGTGCTTGCAGACTTTGAATACAAGAGATACCGTGGGATACCGTGGGACACCTCCAATTTCTATAGCAAGATAGCAAGTACCCTATCTATCCCTATCTAATGAATTCTAATGACACAAATGCCTGCAATTGCACGACGTATAGCACGATGTTATATGATGCTAATATGACGTTCTTATTGCGTTCAAAGGTATGTTTTCGTTATGGCTTTGAAGATGGTTTTGGTTTGGCACTCTCCGTGAGGCTGCAGGGGTGATTAACAAATTTGCCTCTACTGTTGACGCCCCAGTTGCGCAGTCATTGGAGACAACACTTTGCACAGCTCGTACGTGTTGATCAATGGACATCACTGGAGATCACCTGAGAAATGTGAACATCCAGGAACTCTTCTCAGGGTAGTGTCGCATGTCATGAAGACGACCTCTTATACCGTATACTCCTTCGAATCGTGTTTAAACAAATAATTAAGCCTGTGCACTGCAAAAGCGCCTAAAGCATCTAAAGTGCCCCAAGTTAATTAATCATGAAGTTATCGATGCCTGCGACGACAGCAAAACCCGTGCGCCAGCCTTCATTGAACCGTGGACCGTTGCTGTCTACACAGCCACCTTCTCAGCCACCTACTCCCCAGGCAGGGCAGGATGATTTGCAAAAGCGTTACTTGAATTGAGAGGTTTCAATGGTTTAGCTGACGCCTCTCAAACTTGCAAGGAGGACAGTGATTTGTATTTGTTTTTTTCGGACTCCTCTCACTGACCCAGAGACTCAGAACAGGGCAGCTTTCAGCTTGCGGCTCAAACAGACCGCAAGGGGAAAACCGTGAATCAGATGACTTGCAATCACAGGAAGTGCAACAGCGCAATAGTTCGGATAAGCCAAGTGTATTTGTTCGAACTCCAATCGCTATTATGAAATACAGGATTGAGAGCGGAAGTCAAGTTGCTGTCATGATTCAAGGTTCAGTAATGTTTCATATGCACTACAAGATGTTTCTAAAAAAATCTAAAAAAACCTGAACGCGCCTCACCAACTGCACGGATTGAAAAAACCACACACACACATGCACATGCATGCAAAATCATGCAAACATTGGGGTTTTAATGTACTTTCAATTAATTCCAATTATTTTTATTTCAATATCATCAATATCTACAAATTGGAAATACACTTTTGATCATTTTTGTATTACAAATGGGGTATTTCACAAATCTTGGACATCTTCGAGACGTATCGTGGGATGGCGCACCGCTTCGAGCGTTTCTCCTGGCGGAGCGGCCAAGAGCTGCTGAAGAAGGCGAAGATCGAAGAGGCAGCGAAAGGGGAGGAAAACCAAAGAAATCGAGTAGGACCCGAGTGATAAGAAAAAACCACAATTTGGATCCTTGACAAGAGATCTAGTAGTATCTAAATGTATCTAATATATTCTAATATAATAAAAGATAGGACAACTAGAGATTAAGAAAAAGAGACATAGAAAGACTGTGAGTAAAGAAAATTATGAAAGAAATTGCAAAGAATAAGTCTTGAAAGGAAGACAGACGGACAGACAGACAGACAGACAGACAGAGAGAGAGAGAGACAGAGGAGATGAACATGAAGGAACTTGGCATTTCACAAACTTGGTGTGAATTTTGTATTTGGTGATATCTGGTGAGATCTCAGGCGAGCCTTTGGTGGTATTGCTTTGTAGTCATTTTGAATGTTTGGATGAATGGCGAATTCAGGTTCGGCCTGGAAGGAAACTGCGGGTCTTGAGGCAAGAGCCAACAGAGAAGATGCGCAGAACTTAGCATGTCAGTTGCATCCGCTTGTGAGTCAGTGTGCAGGGAGTGTTTTGTAGATGTGTTTCGACACTGTACTGTGTGTGTGTCACTGGCATCTACATGGAAAGGGATGCAAGTTGTTGCCACAACAAACTGCTCGTTCTCAAAACTTCTCAAAACTTCTCAAACTGCTTTGCGTTGAAGTCCTCGAAGTCTGTGGCTACTGCCGCATCAGGCCGACCCTGCTGTTGGTACATGGCAGTGCTGCATCTTTGACTCAATACCTACCTCTTGCAGCCGCTTTGAATGAGACTCCTGGATCCACTTCCTTTCACTTCCTTTCACTTCCTTTGTCAATCCCATGGGGGATTTTGATATGACACGACTCATGACATGACCATCCTGACATATCCTGACCAAATGTATCTCTGATCTCACTTTTATTATTTATGTATCTGGTCTCATTGACCATTCTCTCTGGAGATTGAGGGTGCAGGAAGAAACAGTAGGACAACTCCTTTGACCCACCACTGTTTGTTACCTACCACTTCTAGTGTTGAGAGCAAGACTACATATATTTTCCTTGTTTTTATATATGTCAGACATCATGTGACTGTGGGACTGGGTTGGACTCTTTTGCTTCGTGGTCTAAGGACACTGGGCTATGGCATTGTTTGCTACGACTGGTTGGGCTGCGGCGGAAGTGAGAAACCGGACTGTCGCGGTTGCACAAATCAGGGTGGGGTCACATGGCCATGGCCTCCAATTGATTTAAGGACATGTAGTACACCTCACCACGTTTTTTTTGGTGTGTCTTTTGCCTTTGCACATCTTTGCACTCTTGGAATTCCCACTCGGCAGATCAGTTAGAAGTTGCTGGCAATTGTGCTATGGTTTCCAGTCTGTTTCTCAGTTCACGATCCTTATGCCTTTGTTTCAACCAGGACGATTGGTACGCTTATGCCTTTGATGAATTGCTGAAAGACCTCATTGCAATTTGGCAAGATCTGAGATGGCCAGGGCCATACATTGCCGCTTGACTGCGCACCAAAATGCCAGACACCAAACTAAAAAGCAGCAAACACACACTAGACAAAATTGGATCTTTTAAGTGATCCATCAGGAACTGAGTCCTATAACATGCAAATTAGTCAGGAAAACAATAATCCTAGAAGCATTAGTCGACCAATGGGAGGTACTCTGAGAAGACAATCGCGATCATAAACACCATCAAATAAAACGAAGACATTGACAATAATCTCAGTAGGGTTCTCGGCTTAGCCCTTTGCCATGACAGTCAAAAAATGCAGGTACACGGAGGTGATCAATCTCCGCCTCCCCCATTGTGGAATAGCTTCGTTGGCACAGGTATCCACAATGGGCCTGTAACCCCTGCAACCTGGAAAAAGGAAGAACAGAAATGTAAAACGAAGTCAACGCAGCAGTTTTACATCTGTTCAGATGGTACACACACACTAGACAAGAATGGATCTTTGAATAGATCCGTCAGGAACTGATTCCTGTAACATGCGACTAGATTAGTTACTTATACAAGTATGAATATATATATATATATGTATAATCACAGTATATAAGGCAGGTACGTTTACCTGATCATCCAGTGTGGAGCTTCGTTGGCAGAGGCCACATCTGGAGATCCCTCTGCCCCCTGCTATAAATTATAGTATAATATAAATAGACGAATGGTACCGACGGCACCAGAAGTTTTATGTCTCTTCAGACGTTACACACACACATACACACACACACCCGCAGGAGGGTGAGGCAATTAAGGCCCGGACAGATGAGGTGAAGATGAGGATGAAGGAAATGAAGTGAGATGAGAATGAAAATGAGGTGAAGGTTACTTGACAAAGGACGCAAAGCGGGGAACGCAAAAGAAGAGGGAAAGAGCAAACACCAACACCAACACACCTGGCCCGGAGCGGGCCGGGCCAACCCTGAAAGGGCAAGAGAAGAGACAAACGGAGGCCGACGGACACGGAACAAGACCAGCGGAGGGGGGGAGGGGACGGAAGCGCCTGAACCAACCTAACAAAGCGAAAACCTACGCCTACCTCGCGCAGGACCCGACCTACCTAGGGGGGAAAAAAGAACATATGAAAAAAGGAGTCAAAAATTGAATAAAAGTTCACTGCAAGGACTCAGTTCAACCCTAGATAATCGCGCGTTGTTCCCAAAAAGGGACCGTAGTCAAGTCCAGCCACATGGGCATAAACGGCTATTCAAGTTCCATCAAATTAGATGCACAAAAAGTTCAACCTCACCAGAAACCAAAGTGACCACACCTGCAGGAAAAAGAACATGCCTGTCGCCTGTCATGGATCATGTCGACGTACCCTGTAAAAGCTGGGGCTGCAGCGAGAAAATGAAGTTTCTGATTGTTCCGAGCGGCTTCACGCCTGCAGAGAAGTTGTAACCAAGGTTCACAAGGGACCACAGGAGCCGCAGGATATTGGAAAAACTGACAACAAAAGGCCAACTGTTACACTTTACTTAGACGAATTACCAAGTTAAAATTGTCAATTCAGAAGTCGGATCTGTCCACATTCTCCCTAAAAAGGGATGCCTCAATTGGCTCCATGGCACCATGTCGGAGCCACCATGGAAATCACACTAGACAAGATTGGATCTTGTAAGTGATGATCACTTATGCCTTTGATGAATTGCTGAAAGACCTCATTGCAATTTGGCAAGATCTGAGATGGCCAGGGCCACACATTGCCGCTTGACTGCGCACCAAAATGCCAGACACCAAACTAAAAAGCGGCAAACACACACTAGACAAAATTGGATCTTTTAAGTGATCCATCAGGAACTGAGTCCTATAACATGCAAATTAGTCAGGAAAACAATAATCTTAGAAGCATTAGTCGACCAATGGGAGGTACTCTGAGAAGACAATCGCGATCATAAACACCATCAAATAAAACGAAGACATTGACAATAATCTCAGTAGGGTTCTCGGCTTAGCCCTTTGCCATGACAGTCAAAAAATGCAGGTACACGGAGGTGATCAATCTCCGCTTCCCCCATTGTGGAATAGCTTCGTTGGCACAGGTATCCACAATGGGCCTGTTCCCCCTGCAAACTGGAAAAGGAAAAACAGAAATGTAAAACGAAGTCAACGCAGAAGTTTTACATCTGTTCAGATGGTACACACACACACACTGAAGCTCAGTGTTGCTAGTGCTCATACCCGCATCATGAATATTAATTCGAGACCAGTCAGAAGGTCTACGACAGTTTTCGTGTTCGGCCGTGGTCGAAAACAAAAGCTTTGCGAAACTTCTCCATTTCTCGTCATTTCTCAGGTCGTGGGACATTCTTTTGGCAGTCACCTGGTCTTGAGACTTGCAGCTTCCTCTCCTTCAATGACTGGCTTGGTTCTGCTGGGAGCTGCGAAGCGATTTCCTGAAGGCGGAGCCGGGCGGAGCCATGGAAGGGTGCCGGCGCAGATTTCGTGAAGGGATGCATGGTGCATATTGCACATAAGAATATTATAATATAATATTATATGTAATTATATATATATATATATGTGTGTGTGTATTTTTGTAAATGCGTATATGTATTTGAAATTCCGTCAAAATTTGCGCTAATTAAGTATGTACTGGGGTGTGCATCGGATGTGTGCTGTTGCATGAAACCTGCTAAAACGATAGGAGACTCACAAAAAAACGATACGTTTTTTGATTGCGCATGCTTGCGCGTTTTGTGGTGTGGGCATAGTGTTTGCTTAGGCAGGGTTGTTTTTTTCACGGTTGGATCCACTTCACCATGAATGGGTGTGCCCATGCGGTGGGTTGAATTTAAATGACTTTACAGTACTTTAGCCACCTAGGTGGGCTGCTTAAACTCGGCACCAAGTAGCTCAGATTACGGAAACGGTGCATCTATTCGCAGGCAGTGTAGGAGCCCATTTTTGGGACCACGAAAGAGCAAACAGGAGCTGCTCGACGGTCCTGACGGCCCGGATTTCGTCCATTTGCTGGCACCAGCCTTCCTTCTGCAATGCAAGTTGCCATGGACACACACATCCGTATAATACTATGAGGGGACATGGCGCAGAAGCTGTATTGAATCAGTGAAAAGGGCCCACTTTCCGGGGCCGCAAGAAGCCACGCTAACCTCTTGCGCTCTGGCAGCGTGCCGCCTTTACAACGCTTATGTCAGGAAGCTGTTTTGCGTGCACCTTGGGAGAAGTGTGCAGTGTGCACTTGCTGCCGTGCATCCCGTCCGCGCGCTTTGGAAAATATTATAATAGTATGCGGCCAAAGCGCTAAAAGCGACGTAATCCCTTATTTACATGCGGATTTGAGGGGCGTAATCGGGACGTACAAGGGGCGTAACCACAGATGGGGGGTACGTAATCCCTTATTTAAAAGCGGGTTGGAGGGGCGTCATCGGGACGTACGAGGGGTGTAACCACACATGGGAGGGACGTAATCCCTTATTTACATGTGGGTTTGAGGGGCGTAATCGGGACGTACGAGGGGCGTAATCACAGATGGGAGGGGCGTGATCCTTTATCTACATGCGGGTTTGAGGAGCAATAGCTTCGGGTAGGGTGGTCTCTTTGGAGTTTGTCCACATGGGGTTCTACACCCCTTGCCTGTCTTCGAGCCACACGCCTTCCCAAACATAATCCGTTGCAATTGGTTTCCTCACAGTTCGGTAGTGGAGAATGCGTTTGGCTGTCAGTCGGCTTGTGCTCAAACGGCGCTGGGGCCAGGGCCTGCTTTTGGGGCCGCATCTGCATATAAAAAATGCCTTCTTGATGGTGGGCCCTCAATGTATATATATATATACACATGTATATATATATAGATACGTAAATTGTATACATATATTATACATGTAAATATGTATACATATATATATATGTATATATGTATATATATATATAGATACGTAAATTGTATACATATATTATACATGTAAATATGTATACATATATTATACATGTAAATATGTATACATATATATATATGTATATATGTATATATATGTATATATGTATATATGTATATATATATGTATATATATGTATATATATGTATATATATGTATATATATGTATATATGTATATATATATATATGTGAATGTGTATATATATGTTATATGTATATATATATATATTCTATTTATATTTTTGTGTCAGTATATGTCAATATTTTTGCATATATATTCAATAAATATGAAAATGTGTATATATATATATGTATATATATGTATGTACGTCAATTTATATTTTAATGTAAATAAATAAATAAAAAAATAAATAAATTTGTTTATATATATATATATTTATAGACGTGTAATTACATATATATATATATAAGTAAATATATGTATGTATTTACACACACATATATATATATTTATACTTACAGTATATATATATATACTTGTGTATATATATATATATACAGTATTTATTTAATATACATGTCAATATATATATATACATGTATCAATATATATGCAGTATATATATATTTAGATGTGTATATATATATATATACTTATAAATATGTATATGTGTATTTAATAAAAAGTAACTATACGTTGATTGATTTGAATTGCAAACTTGGACTTTTTCCGTGATATTTCAAGATGGCTGACAAACCGCTTAGGTCAACCCAAACTTTCTTCAGTTTGGAGACGCTTTACAATTTTGACAGAAGATTTCAGATATTGTTGTGTGCCAGGTCATCCGATCTTCCGACTGCCAGTTTTCTTGTTGCGATGGCTTCAGCCAACTCTCACAAAGGCCCGCAGTTTTGTGCAACATTTGAACAAGAACACATTGAAAAAGTAGGCTAAAGGTTTGGCACAGACATTTGCAGTCATTTGGATGCCTTCTGCGTTGGTGTGTTCTTAACAAATCAAGTGTTGTGCAAGGCATTTTTAGAGATGGCCTTGGTCTCCAAAGATCCGGAGCTCATTCGACAGGAAACTGACGCCTGCAATGCCAATCCCATGTCAATGCAACTTGCCCGAAAAGGTCACACAGTTTCTTTTGTTCATGGAACTCAAATTCATCGAAGTGCAGGCGCATACTGTCCCATCGCGTTTTGCACCTGAAGGTGCCTGGATTAGTTGATTAGTTTTTCTCTATTTTTCACTGCAGGTGCAAAGCATACTACCGGCAAGTGCGGAATGCCACTGATGCCGAGATAGCCGAGTGCAGCAAGCTGCGAGTCTTGCTGATTCGAGGACCGGATTTTGTGGTTCTATGATGGGTATTCCGTTTAGATCATTTGGATTAAGAAATTCTCTTTTGCGATGTTCCATGTATTTTCATATTTTTTCCGTTGAATTTTCCCATGTTTTCCCTATTTTGTTTCCATTTCTTTCGAACATAGCAGTGGCAGGAGATGGAGATGGTATCGTTTCAGCATCTGACATGGAAGCCTTGGCCCAAGCGCTGCCAAAATCAACTTCTGCCACGGTCGCAAATGCCGGCCATGTACCGATGCTCGAGGCCAGGCCAAAACTGGATTCGATACGGCGATGCATGGCCCTGCTACTGCTTGATTCTTCCCACCGGTGAACCCCCAAGACTTTGTTTTTTGTTTGTTTTTGTCTGACTTGCAAAAACTTTGTCAATTTGGTTCTCTTCAAGGTTGATACTCAGTATTCAATAGTATTTATGTATTCATATATACATGTCCATACAGTCCACAACTTCTTGGAGAGACCTTGAATACACTCTAAAAATCCTCTGGGAACCCTCTGGGATTGAAACAAGATCGAACGATATCGAGGAGCCTGGCAGAGTGGCAGTTCCTTGGCACAAGTTGACTCAGTTGACTCAGGAAAAAGTCAAGACATGTGACGTGTGACGTTTAGATGAGACGTTTGTGTTGTTTGGATGACGGGGTAGAGGTGGACACTGATGTTGCTCCCAATTTGTGCTTGGACCATTTGAATCGTTTTGATAAAACATGATAAAACCACATGACCATTGTGTTTGTTCGTTTTCGGGGGTGTTTTTCTGTCTCCGCACAGAACACTCTGCCAGGAGCTCATTGAAGAATTTGTGTCCGTTCAATGAAAACTGACGCACTTGCTATCACTCCTTAACCGGTTGCGCCTCGGAATTGTTTGCAGACCTCTTGGCCCTCAACAGAACTGACTGGGACGGAGGTATCCGGAGGATAGGATTCATGGTGAGATGTGAAGAGCACTTTGGCTTAGCTAAAGAAGCTCGCTGCTTGCTTTGTGCATCCAATTGCATCCAGCTTATCCCAGCTTTTGGAAGAACTTTAAAGATGAGACTTAGTTTTAAATCTCAGTCCTTTACACTTGACATCCAAGAAGATGCAACAAGCGTTCCTACAAATCTCCAATTGCAGCAAGTGCAGTGTGCTTGTGATCTGGTCCTTTCCACGTCAGGCAGAGAAGCGGCCCAGTTCGCCTCTCAGCGTTCGCAGCTATCTCCGCCTCAGGGTGTGCAACATGAAGAAACTAAGGTGCAGAAACAATGCCGGGACCACCTGGCACTTTCTTCTCGAAAAGCTGCAAGCTCAGAGATGCTGCTGGAGTACTGCACCTCCCATGTTCCTGCTTTGCTGGAAGCCTTTTCAACCATTTTGAGAATATAAACATTATAAACGATTCAAAAACCGTAGGATTTCAGAGAAACCGCAGGACAAACCTTGAAACACTGAGGCGAGACCTGCAGGCAAGGCTGGAAAGGAATTGGTGGCAGTCTGATTGCGATGCAGATCCAAGGTATTTGTGTATTGGAAAATATTGGATCATATTGTAACATATTGTAACATGATCTGGTTGATAAACTGTAGAAATGATGTAAAATGAGAGAACCGCTGCACCCAAATTTGTCTTGCAGGCCCTCACCATCCTCGCCCAATGCACCACTTCTCGGTACTGTGTGCATCCCTTAGATGTGAATTTCATGATGAGGTATCATGTATAATTACAGTGTCAAACAATGTCATCAATTGCTAATGATATGCGTTTTTGCCAGAACTGGAAGCACTACTCGCCTTGGAAGTACAGCCATGAATGAGCACTGAAAGCGCTCGTATCATCTTGTAGTCTCGGATTTGCCCGCAGTTCCAGGCCCTGCAATGGATCTCTGCCACGACTGCTGGGGAGCGCTCCATGTCACATGTAGCACATGTTGGTTAGGACTTTGTCAGTGATTCAATTGATTCAAGCTGCAAACTGAGACTTCTGAAACCCTGGCATTCCAGACTCTGATGATGTTTGCGGCTTCATGGATACTATTGGATACTGTAATGCTTATGATGTCGCAAATTGTGACGCGATGGACTCCGACGCCCCAAACTCTGGCTCAGATGCTGTTGGTACTTGATAGCCAATCGAGGTAGAACACATACTTGGAATTTCTAGGAAATGTGTGCATAAATTAGATGTATGCATAACATAAACATTGCACACTTTCTAGGTCTCGGAAAGCACGCCTCTTTTTCAGCAACAGCTGGACTTTGAAGCAAATATCAATTTAGACATTGCCATTAGCCCGCTGCCTTTGCAGAATGGTTTCCTTTGTGATTGCAGGGAAGGCAGGCAGTACTTTACAGCGCTGCGGGAAATAAGCGTAGATAGAAAACCATGTTTGATGCTTTTCTTGCTGTTTACCAGAATGTCTTAAGTTGTCTCTCAGTCTGTCAGTTCCATCAGTTGCTGTTTCACGTTGCCGAAACTCGGCGATGCAAGGCCAGCGATCCGTCCTTTGCTCGCGCGGAATATGCAGCAAAGCAGGTCCAGGCAGTCTCTGTTGCCGAAAGTTTATGTACGGATCTGTCCATCCTCTCTTTTTCTGCTTAAAATTCCCCTTGTTTTGTTGGGAAAGCCTCTAGGCTTAAGCCAATCATGTTATCATCAACGTATCATCAACTTATCATCCTATTGCTATTGTTGGCACTAACCATGACCTTCAGGATCTACCAAGTCTGATGGTTCTGATGTAAGTCTGTTACCGTGGGATCTGGATCCGGATGCAGGCCATGGTGCCCAACATCTTTGTGCAGCTCGAGATGAAGCATCCCGACCATTGGAAAAGTTTCCTCGCGACGATCAGCAGATTGCTGGGGGCTTACTTCTTCGCAAGTCGGATGCATCAAGTCGTGATCACCCACAGCATCCATCAGAATCCCACAGCATGTAGATTTCGAGTGACACATAAGACCGGCGGAATTCATTTGAAGCTGGCAGATCTTGACAAAATGATCCAATCCGGCTTTGCGATGCTATGATTTGCGCTATGATTTGCTATGGACCCGGAGATCCCGGAGGTACGACTTCTCAGACTACCCTGATGACTTCTCTGGACCTTTGGCCTACGACTCAGGGCATTCCAGCGACAGGAAGCAGATGTTGAAGTGATTCATGTGGATCCAAGGTTTGGACTCTGGAGGCAGCTCTTTCTGGCATTGACTCCCCTTATTTTCCGTTGCTTCCTCCATTTCAAACTTCAGCTATTTTCATCCATTTCATCCATTTCATCCATTTCAATCAATTTCATCCATCATGTAACCAGCCACCTCCCCAAAAAGACGAGCAGCAGTAAGGATCATGCTTGGTGGCCTATTCCAGGGATATTCAGGGTGATGATCACCACCAATTCACCTCAACCTATCTTGCACCATCTTGCACCATCTTGCAACATCTTGCAGCCTTGCTATCTTCAGGGTGGTCTGATTGGTGGTGCTGCAGATTTTGTCCAGAAGATCTGCATCGAACAGTTTGGCATCCAGGACCACATCACGAAAAAATAGGGTCCTGCGCATTGCATTTCGTGGCCATTTGTTCTCTGTTGTTCACCTGAACTCAGTGCTGGATCTTGATCCACCGATCCACCAAATCCCTGAGGGGAAAGCAGCTGAGTCATGCAAGGATCCTCCGGCTGTGACAGACCCTATGTTCAAAGAGATCGCGGCGGAAAATCTGAAGCAGGCCAAAAAGCTGCTCAAGCTGCTCAAGCTGCTCACTTGACTGCAGCTGCAGAATTGCTGGTACTTTTTGGTTGGAAAATATGGAAAATGTTTGAAACATTACAAGGCCAGAGCCTAACAAAATCGATTGCCTCGTGGTATCTCGTGATTCTCGTGGCGTTGTTTTGCCATCCAAAAATTCTCACATTTTGTCCAAAAGTGCCAGGTGAAGATGCAGCTGCAACGCGCCTGGACCTCACTACTCCTCACTTGCAGCAGTCCATGTATTGAAACACATTGAAACACAAAACATTTTGCAATACTTTGCAAGTTTCTGCAGTGACGTCAGTCATTATCTGCTAGTGCTGCTAGTGCTAGTATGCTAGCTCTGGAATTTGAAGCTCGCTTCTTGGCCATCAAGTCTTCGCATCACTTGGAATCTTGACCCATTTTCGAAGCTCGTTCAAGGAACAGGACGGTCCTGGTGTGGCTGAGAGATGTGCCAGTGCCCATGCAAGCGCTCAGGCAGCTGCTAATTGAGTTGACATTTACTTCAGTCGGCTCAGTTGGCTCGGTTGGCTTGGACAAGTTGACCAAAATATGAGCAGGTGATAGACGCTGCCATTCTTGTGCAAGTCAAAGTCCAACAGTTGGCTTTTGGCCAAGGTTTTCTTTTCATTTAGCCTGTCCTTCGAGAATCGACAGAATGCCCCAGTCTGCCCCAGTGCTTTTTGCTGGTAATGCATGGCAATGCTTTGGAATTAAGAAGAAGAGATCTTCATACATATATAATCATATATATAATTATATATAATATTTATATCATAGATAGATCTATTATGGTTTGTCGCCTGATGCGAAATGACAGTAATATACAGTAATGGTTTTTGTCCATATTTTGGGCTTCGCGCGACAGGAAGGTGGCCTCATAGAGGCCACGAACTTCTCGGAGAAGCGGCACTTCTTCAGCCATGGTGCCTGTATTGAGGCGGGGCCGGCAGGGCCGGCAGGGCCGGCGGGGCCGGCGGGGCCAGGGAGATGTAGGTGTCAACCGGAAACATCTGAAACCAACCAGGAAAGCTGCCTAAAGCATGCAGAAAGAATGGAAGAGTCCTTGTTGAGTTCTTGTTCATCCTATTTTCATCCTATTTTCATCCTTGTTCCAGGACTGTTTCAGGATATCATGGGGATACCGCACCGTCGATCTGGAAGAGACATTTTCTCACGAGCCGGATGGAACCGGTGAATTTGGCCAGGTGTGGATCAATTCATCTGTTGTGGAGGAGGCAAAAGCCAATGGTGCTGTCAGCTCCTCTCCAGGGGCAGATAAAAGCACTGAGGAGTTGCAGACATGCTGAAACTATGCTGAAACTATGCTATGCTGAAGCTGCTGAAGGATGTTGTTGTACATGTACGATAATATATGTACATGTAGGTTACATGTACAAAATATATCAAAATATGCTGAACTTGTATCGAAGCTGGATGTTTGGATATGTTTGGCAATGCTGGAGACATCGAGAGACTGTCCCAAGGCCTTTGGTGCAGGCGAATCAGCTCCACTGGTGTCCTGGCAAATTGATGGCAATTGCGTGTCACTTGTTGTCAATCTGACTAGATGTATCATATATATGATAATATATATATATAATATATATATATATGTACAATGATAGTATCTATGTAGCCCTGAAGGGCTTGTATGCCTTCCGGCCAATGGCAGGATCCCCGTTTGGCCGTTTGCAAGGTTGGTCAGGACATTTGCCGACCTTCGTGGCATGTTCGTGACATTTTTCAGAGAATTGCGATGATTGAAACGTGCAGGAGGAATCACACACCGTGCTTTTGCATCCCAAACCTTTGTTTCCAAAGCAGATGGCGCTGGTGTCAGCAGCCAAGAGAGGCAGTTTGGACATGTTTCGACATGTTTTGGTGGGGCAAACACTTCACCTCAGGCCCAGCCGTTTCTTAGTTGAAGCAACACCCGAGGTGCGGCAGGGAGGTGGCAGGAGGAATCATCTCGGCTCCATACAATTCGAAAGACATGATAAGGCATGTAAAACCTTGATAGATATTGCCAATTGATGCCAATTGATGCTAATTGATGCCAATTGCATGTACTCAGACTGTACTCATTGTAATTCAATGTAATTCATTTGTATCATGCCCCGGAGCCTAAGATGATCCAACTATATCGGATTGTGGCAAACTCATGGCAAGTTCAGCGTGAAGGCACGCAATCTCCACGATCCCTGTGCATTGCCGCTTCGTTGCAGGTACCTGCAGAGGAAGTGGCACCGGAGGCTTCGCTCAAGAAGTCAGAGCACATCGGAGCATGAAAAGTGTTGGAAGCTGTTGGAAGCTGTTTGAAGCGTACACTTTGTTGATTTCTTTCTTTATATCTTTGTTGATTTGTGTGGGCTTTGTTCCTGATTTTGTTTCTACAATTTTCTGAATATTTCTACGGCATGTTCTTCCGTCCAATCATCAGTTTTACTTTTGATTTGAGTCATCTTTTGACCTAGGCTTCCCCTGCTTCCCACAGGCAGAAGCTCCAGCGCCAGAGCAGGCTCCACCTGAAGCGCCAGATGTGGAAGCAGAAGCCCTGGAGCGCGGGGTGTGGATAGTTCCTGGATAGTTCCCTGAATGGGATGGAAAAATGATGAAACATGGATAGACATGGATGTAGAATGATGTAGACATGCGGCTAGGATCAAGCTGCGCCAGCCCCAGCAGCGCCGCCGTCGCTACTGGTGCCGCCACATCGTTTCCGCAGCGATGCGCAAGAGGCCGGCACAATGTGTTGCCGATTGTGTGGGCTTGCCATGCAAAATAACTTCTATTTGCCGCGATAGAAACTTGGCTTAGAGATCTTAGAGGGGTAGACTATGGTAGACTTCATTTTCTCATGGCAGACCTGGCAGACCTGGCAGACGGCCAGGATTTGAGCCTCGCAGACTTCACCGCAGCAGTGGAACTGCTGTTGGCATCCCAGATCATCCCAGTTGCAGTGTCGTGACATGTCGTGACCACATTGGATGTTGGTGGCCCATGGGCCCATGGTGGAGTGATGTCAGATTCTTGTGATGTTGGTATTGGATGTATAGGGGAACGCTGCAGTTCCATTTCTCACGTTGCTCACCTCAGGTCGCAAGTCGGAGGTGTTGCTGTATGGTCGGCCATCAGGGGCGGCTCTGAGTTCCGACATCCTTTGGAAACCCATTTGCAGGCGGGAGGTTCTGTCGGCTGGACTCAGGTTTCCTTTAAATATCTTAAATTGGAAATGTGAAACTGTGTATGTCCGTTTGATTTTGATACCTTCATATATAGAAATATATTTGGATACATATTCATGTATACGTGTATATAATGTGTATATATTTGTATATATATTTTATATATATATAATGTGTATATTATGTGTATATATATATATACAATGTACTAGATAATTTATATACACATATATGATATATACTATAATATTATATATATATATATTATAGTATAATCTATGTATAACATATTCCTTCACAGATGACTTGCTATCAATAGTCTCCGAAGGTTCAAAACAGGTCTTCTGTCCTCTGGTGTCACCCCACAGAGGTCCTCCCATTTCCACAGACGGGTTCTCCACTGCCCGGTCCTCAGTGAACTTTGACTGTAACCAACCACAAGAGCCACAAGTTTCAACATGATTCACAGATATTCACCGATATTCACAGATATTCACGGATATTCACAGATATTCACAGATATTCACGTAATTCTTTTGCATTGATGATTCTGGTGGGTTCAGAATTGTCCGTCGTGTCAGGAGATACCCTTTGGAGTTTCTGATCGATCGGTGCATGCGGGAGGCAGATTCCGAGAGCCTTGTGGAGAGCTGTTACTGTACTTTGTTACTCTTTGTTACTTGTACATACTTGTATATTTGTACATGAAAAGAAGTGAAAGCACAAATTGTGAAGAAACTGGGAAAGTTTCTCGCTCAGCTGTGTCCCTTCAATCGCTCAGCGACAAAGTCTTGTCCAGGGTCCAATCTCCACCCTGCCATGCTTCCCCTTCGAGCATTTTTTACTCGCAGCCTGCTCCTTACTCCCCACACATTTTGGGATCGCACAGAGGAATCAGAGGAGTGCAGGGTGATCCAATGGCTATCCATGGCTATCCCATATTGATCATATTGTGGAGGCCGAGACGCAGCATTGACTGAGGTTCCACAGGCAGATGGTCGTGGCCTTGGCTGTTTTTGGCATCGGATTCCACTTGAAAGTCGGACATTCCGAGTGTTAGGAGCAAAGCCTGCTGAGACGGCGAAGGTGCCAGAGCTGATCTCACCAAACTATGCAGAAATTCATGGGGTTTTAGAAGGTTTGTTTTCTGGTCACAAGAGTTTTTAAACATGTTTTAATAGGTTTTAGAAAGCCGATTCTAACATAATGACATAGTTTCATAGCGTGGCAGATATTTCAGAACATGCTTTGGCAATAGCTGCAATCCATTGCATGTTCGGAATTTGCCAAATTCTGCAGTCAATCGCCATGACCTACGACTCTGCATTAACGAAGCTCCAGGGCATTCGTAGGGCAGCACAGAGGTGAATACCGTCCAGTTGCAACGAAAGCATTGGGAGCGAAATGCGGATGGCTGTACTTGCTGTTCCAGCTTGGACCAAAATTATCCAAAATATGTTTCTGTCGTTTTTTTTCCATTTGGATCATCCAAAAATATCCAAAATGTGTTTTTTGTAGTGACTGGTAGTGCTTGTTTGATCTTGTTTGTGCGATCCATAATGATTTATAATGATTTATAGAGAATGTTCATGAATGTTCTGGATGTGGAAACGGATGAAACAAAGTTTACATGAAATGACTCGTTCCGTGGTTCCGTCGTTCCGCCGTTCGACACCGAGGTCAAGGAGCTTCTCGTCTGCTTTGCTTCACTACGACTTGGATGTTTAGTGCTCAGAATGCTCAGAGCGTGCGGAACATGGATCCAGTCATGGATCCAGTCATGGATCCAAATGGATCCAACGTCGATGTCGGAAGTGTGCCTTGGATATCTTGAATTTCAGGCTGGTGATGCCGCTGACTCCTCCAGAGCCTGGTACACCAGAGCACGAGGCGGGGTCCAGGGTTGAGCAGCACCACGTAGCAACGATGCTGTCAGCATGTCATAGCATGTCTAAGAGTCTAACAGTCTAATGTACTTGCCTAATGCATGCGCTGAAAGTTGCTGCCAGGTGTGGCTAAAGTTGCCACCCTTGCATCCTTGTGCCTTGCTTTGCACTTGCTTTGTACTTGCTACAGAGGTGACTGGGGGACTGATGAAAGATGTGAAATATGCTGCTTCAGGCTGCATCTTTTTCAGTTTCTGATCCGAGGTGCCCTATGTGGAATTGCAATTTGCCCAGAAATCGATCAGACCTTCCCGGAGACAGCAGGAGGTCAAGCGCTGATTCTGAAACAAATAGATCAAGACAGTACCAGAATGTTACCATGTGAAATCACAATCCCATGAAATCACGGTGTTCTCCACGTGTTCAATGATTTGAGTAGTCTTTCGTTGAGAGACCTGCTCAGGTCAGCTGAGACAGCAGCGACTTGTCTCCAGCCGAGCAGAGGAGGCATAGATCAGCAGGGTTTTGATTGTTTTCTTATGTCATAACTTATGTTTTCTATATATTTTCTATATGTTTTGTTTGTTTTCTGGTGAGCTCAAGAAGATTCAACATGTCAAATCGTGGCTGGCTTCAATTTTCTTTCGAGAACTGGAACACTGGAAGATAATAAAGGTTTCTGTAAAGGTTTCTGATGGGGTTTGAAGCCTTGAAGGTTTCTTAGAGGACTGAAATCCTGCAGGAAGGGATCCCAGAAGATGCTCCAGAGTACGGCCTGGCCAGAAACGAGGCCTGTCACAGCATATTGCAGCTATCCATTGTAACCAAGCATAAGGTATAGCATGTATAGCAGCATAGCATAGGTATAGCTAGATATTATAACTATAGATATAACTAGCATAACCAGATCATAACCAAACCGAGCATCAAGCTTTGACAAAGATTGACAAAGTGGAAGCATGTGGAAACATGTGGAAACCACATCTCTCCGTCATATAGGTCCGCATCTCCAGGCAGATCTATGATCGGCCGGGGGCCAATTTGGAGTGATCAGTGACTCCAACATTACTCCATAATACTCCATATATGAATCCATATGACCATATCAGGTTGAGGATTGGATGGGATTCAATGTACAGTATCCAGAATCGTGACACTCTTGTATTTATTTTGTATTTATTGCATATTTATTGCACTTTTTTTGTATTGTTTTGTATTGCTGTATTCAATTGGAATCTTGGGCGAAGTTTGAGGCCGCTCGAAACCTTGGGCTTTTGGGTGAAGTGATCTGCGGAGTCTGACACTGTCCCGGAGGGAGAACAGGTGGGTAAATGAGTAAACCTCAGTAAACATCAAACATGAGTAACCAATATACAAAATATCGGTTTGTGATTCATTGATAAATGACAAGTATTTTTTTCGTAGATGATTAGTATTTTTGGGGCAAATGGTTAGTGGCGGAAACCGAAAAGGGCTTAAAGCAGCCGCTTTTGGAGCACGACGCACGACAAAAAAAACATCGCAGTATAGATTCAGTTTCCCAACATTTTTTCCGGAATCAGACTCTGAAGCTTTTGAAAGAGCCTCCGTAAAGGAGCGTTTCACCCTCAGAATGTGTTTTTGAGTCGTGGGCTGTTGCTATGAGCTATTTCAAATATATATGTTGAATTCTCAAGTGATCTCAACACTGAAGACATCAACGGCTAATTCGTCGCTACCTACAGGGTACCTTGTGTAGCTTGCACGCAGCGTATCACTCTCCAAGAGAAGGCGTCAGAAAGAGCTTCGACAACTTTCGCAGAACATTTGAGACCTGATGAGATTATAAGAAAACTTGGAGTGACCAGTGACTTGCAACATACCTAACGTGCCTACGTAGAGTGATCTGAACGCCGCCTAACGCCGCCTTGAAACAACCGATCCCGACCCAGAGAGGGGACGGTCATGGACGGTCTGACCGAGTCTAAGTGAGTCGAGTTTTGAGGAGCCGTGGTCCTCCAGGACTTCCTCATCCAGCGAAGGCCGGAAACAGAGCGTTTCGGAACCAAATTAGATCTTCAGAACATATCATAACAAATTCATAACATATCATACCCACTTCAGTTATTTCATTGTGATTTCCACAATTTATGTCAACTAATTTAGATCTTATTCTCAATCTATTCTCAATCTATTCTCAAATTATCATATTTCATTATATCTTAATGGAGAGCGCGATGGAGAGAGAGATTATATCTTAATCGTGGCTGGTCAGTGAGTCACAGTCAGTCGGTGTCAGTCAGGTGGCGGACGGGCTATCTATTCTCCAAACAGAGCCGACTGCATAGAGCGAGGCTTGGATTGGAAAGATGGCTCCATGACTTGACGGTGATAATTCTGATATATTCTGATATCGAGCTTTGGATTTATTATATTTTATTATATTTATTCAAACGGACTTTGTTCCAGATTGTTTCAGTATGTTGTCAAGGAAGCCATGAGAGCCTGTGTCCGATTGATTGCCATGTTTGCCTTGCATTGCTCGAAAACGCTGGCTTGAACTGTGAATTCTTTTTGAGATGCATTGCACGTAGCAGCCGATTGGCTGCAGCAAAGCGCGCAGAAGTCGTTGCGAAAAGCTGTGCTTGCATCTTTTGGGAGCTTTGCCAACTGGACCCAGAAAAGCAATTGCTCTCTTTGCATGATTTTTCCGGCTGCCCAAAGAGGATACGGCTGGAAGCAGGACTTACAGAAGGCGTCTGGGTTTCGCAGAACAGCAGTCCAAGTTGAAAGGAGGTCAGCTTTGGCGCAGCACTTTGAAAGGAACATGAGAGTGATCTAGAGTGACTACAGATGAGGTCAATCTTCGCTGAAATCACAGTCTATTTCTCTGTTTTTCATCACTTCCACATTTTTCCACAGTGTTTTTCCAAAGACAGCTCCATGGACTCGACTGAAAGCGAGTCACCCGCGTTTGTTGAAAGGCAGGTACGAAAAAACCAGGCCGTCAAAAGGAAAAAACCGGGCTCTGGTTTTTCTCTTCGTATCTTCCGGACTTTTCTCTGCGGCCCTCCGGCTTGCAGCTACTTACCGCTGTGGCAGTTGACTTTTTTCCAACTGGTGATGCTTTTGAAACATTTTGCAACATGTGTTTGGAACACGTTTTGAAATGTTTTGAAGACGTTTGAAGGTTCTTTAAAGTTCTTTATATGTTTTTTTTACTGGTATTTATATGAGCAAGAGGCTAAACTCTCCGTGTAGGAGGTATGTATTCGAGCGCTCTCGTATGTAAAAATATGCATCTTGATATGTAAAACGATATAGTGAAGTCCCAAAAACGATAACCTGGGAATCATATTATATGTAAAAGCATTGTGGGAAGTGAAGGGGTTGTGTACATGACATGATGGTGGATACCTGTTCTATAAGCATGTAGATCATCTAGGCTCTCAGTTGTGGGGTACACGTCATGCCCAGCTCACACTACGGAAGATGTGCAAAAGTATGCTGACACTCTTGATCCTGGCCAATTTCTTTATTTCTGATTACTGCAAACGGTTTTGTATCCAATCACGTATTGTTATGTGGTAACTAGCTGGATGACAACAGGTATCCTTTCCAACTTTCCTTGGTTCATGCCATTTTCCCAAAAATGTTTCCCCCTTTGAACGATAACGAAAACGATAACTAAACGATAACCATTTCTTGACAAAATGTCCTTCGCTGATGGATGGCCCAGATGCCAAAAGATTCTTGAGACCTTTGCCGTTTTATATTATCACTTGCTCATTGCGATCTTTTCGCTGCTATGCATATTCTTTTGCAGCGCTCCACTGCTTTAGTCAATCCCGGTTCATCTCGGGCACAACTGCACCTGCAGGTCCGGCTTGACGATCTTTATCCTAGATGAAGATAGCCAAGGCAAAGGCGTTGGACCAGGTCGATGGTTTGCTGCGCAGACGCTGGCGAGTGAATGAAAGGCATGGAGCATGTCGCTGTGAGAGCTCACCCGGGTTTCCTCCAACAAACTGAATTCAAAGCTTGTTGCAACTGTGATTTGCAGTTGCGCTGGCAGGTATCACACCACACCCACCATACAGTTGAAGCGCTGGAAAAGAAAGCGCAGGGCAGTCAAAGATGCCCAAGACGCGAAGTGGAGGTGTAAAAAGGCTTTCCGCATGCAGTTTGCCAGGGGATGCGGATGATGCAATCAGGATATACTGTAAAACGATATAGTGAAGTCCCAAAAACGATAACTTTGCCCCGAGATCGCATTTTTCAATTGAGGTTTGGCCGATCGCTCATATGTATTTATTATATTATTTCTTGGTAATTATTTTGGTAAACCGCCACGGTGGCTTTCAGCTCCTGCAGACTCTTTTTTGTGCACCTGCGCTGTTGTAGCCTGAAGTTTGAGTGTGCGCACTGTACTGTTATGACCTTTGCATATCGCCAATAAAGGACGTTCAGCGTTTTCAGATGGGACTGGGCACACCTCATAAAATCCATTAAAATCCATTAAAATCCATTAAAATCTCATAGATCTCATATCAATGGTCGACGCATGTCGAAGCTATAGAATGGGGCAACGTTTGGCAGTTCAAAAGGTCACTTCTTGCAGCATGCTTGCTGTTGCACAGCACTGCTGATACACATCAGCTAGCTGCTAGCAGCTGCTTTGTGTAAACTTTGTGCAGCCACTCCAAACCAATTTCAATAGCAAATGATGCTTGCAATGCCAGTGACAGAAAAGATGCTAGTTCTGCTGCTTGAAGCTGTGAATTGATCCATGCCTCTGTTGTTTAGGTTTGCACACCAACCCCACAGGATCTCAACGTCTCTAAACAATATCAAAACATACCTACTAAACAATGTCTGTATATGTCTGTACAGCATCCTGATGATCTCATTGTTGGTGATGGTGATTAAGACATATTAAGGCGAATGATTTGAATGAAGAGCACTTCGCAGGAGTTCAATTTTTCATAATTTTTCCACTGGACTGCAGTGCTTCGGCCTTTCGTTACCGTCTTACAGCGCATCAGCGCCCTCCTGTAACTTTGACAAAAGGTCTGAATCTGCAGGAGTAGCGACAGTGTAGACTGTCTGTAGACTATGCTTTCGCGTAGCAGATTGCATCTTCTAGCTTGGTAGCTAAGGCCACATGTTTGTAAATGTTTTCGCAATCTCTTTGTGGTTTCATATGAATTTGAAGGCCAAAAACTCCCTTTTGTGATCTTTTGTTGTTTCGGCAATGGGTCGTCGCTACTAGCTCTGCCGAGGCAGGGTCTCACATTGATGAGTCAGAGGGTTTGCAGTTTTATTGTAGTCAGAAACGTCAGAGATTTTTGTAGAAATTTCATGAAATTTCAGCCAAGGTTCAGCCGATGAATGGCACACCTGAGAGGCCCAGCCGCAGATCTCAATGGCATGGTGCAACGGGTTTGTTTAAACGGCTGCACTGAAATCACTTCAGCATGGCAGTGATTTACTTCATCTATCTTCATCTATCTTCATCTATCTTCATCTATCTTCATCTATCTTCATCTATCTTCATCTATCTTCATCTATCTTCATCTATCTTCATCTATCTTCATCTATATTGAACATAATTTCAACATAATTTCAACATAATTTCAACATTCATTTTACATTATTTAATACTATGACAATACTACGACATTTGACTACAGTCGCCCTATGGATGCCACTCAGACTTGATCTGACTTGATGCCTTTGAATTGCTCAGAGTCTGAAGCCCGTATGTTACGGACAGGTATCCCAGAACACCAGCCGGTTCAGATCTAGCAATCCAGTTGCCTTTGACTCCAACTCAAACTCTAACTTAGTTTCATTGCTCGAGCTGACCACAGCGAAATATCGAATTCTAACTGCAGAATTTAGTGCCACAGACCAGACCCACAGCACAAAAGCTGCTGCTTGCATAGAGTATACTTACTATAGTTGCAATGAACAACCTGTCATCATGTACAGTACTCGTTACACCATGAACAAGCACAGATAGCATGTACGTGCCATGGTGTTTTGGCGTGTGGCCGCAGTGTCACTGTGGCCCTGCAGGGGACACTTCGATGAATTAATTGGGTCTGGGCCAGGACTCAGATCTTGGCCATGGAATGGTACCCTGTGCAGAACTGTCAAAGCTGTCAAAACTGGCAGAAGCTCACTATAATATGATTATAGTTTTCAAAGTTTTCACTATGTGCAGGTCTCGAAGCTTCACTAGTTGTCACTCAACAAGCTATTCTATCGCTTTTTTTATTTGTTCAGCTAAGTTTCTTGCTGCAGCCCTGCTGGAAAAAATGTCAACTCAATTTGCATGCCCTTGAAGTGGCTTTTATGTTTCCGGTTCTAACTGTAGCGCCGCGTGATGTATTGAGTATTTAACATGTGCATCGCAGTCAGGAGGAGATATTAGGTTAGGGAAGGGAGAATAATTATATGGGTAGCATTGGGTAACTGGAGAAATGATGACCAATGACTCAAATGACATCAAATGACTAGGAAGATATAGGAAGATATAGGAAGTTGATGGAAGTTGGATCTCATCTGAATCTCCAATGATCTCCTGGCTGTCCCTCCCCGGTTCCCCCAGGGCACTTCATCGAGCTTCCGGGTCTTCGTTGCACGGAGCTGCCACAGCATCCACTGGGCTCCAAAGGCGACCGCTGGAGTGACGACTTGGAACTGGACGCCAGGAGCGAGATGGAGAATGCACCGAGTCGATTCCGTTAACAAATAGAACACTGAACAACCATCAAAGGCCATCAAAGACCATCAAAGACCATAAGATATCACAAGAAATCAAACAAGATGGATATAATAGGATAACAGATGCCGAAGTTCATTTTGGCTCTAAGTTGGTAAACCAAGAAACACATACGAAAAGCGTTGAGGTCGACATATGTTTTCATTAGGACTTGTTTTCCAGGAAAACAATCTGTCATTACAAATCTAGCGATACTTCAATCTCTGCAACCTGGACTCACCGGGCTGCTTGACCAGGAATGCTTGCGATGACACAGATTCGTGTACTGGCTTCATGCGATACACAGGCACAGCCGGCAAGCATCGGCAAGCATCGGCAAGCATCGGCAAGCATCATTATTCAACAATTATTCAACATATTCAACCTCGATGCGATTCTGAAACCTTTTTGAATCAAAAAACATCACAGAAAGCAGTCGGATCAGTGCTTCCGTTGGATGTAGCTGGTGGCCTTGAGATGCCAACGATCATCCCTAAGGTGACAACGATCAACACTGCTTCGACTGGTGTGGTCGGCCACAATTTTGCATGCCCGTGTCGGACCAGGAGTGATCAAGATCACCTCCAGTCACTGAAATGTGAATAGTTCAATCATTTTTGGTTGTTTTGGGTTATTTTTGGTTCATGGTTCACTTTTCCGCTGGTGAAGCCTTACCTTGTGACAGTGAGTTGTAGAGGACAAACGTCCGTTCGCACCGAATGCGGCATGGACCAGCTACGTAAAGTCGGAGTACTTGGAGGTCTCCTTGGTTGCAAGTTATGATGCTATGGCTATCTATGGCTGCTATGCCCTGCCAATCAGGGACACTATGGGACACTGATCAGAAATACAATCTTTTTCACAACAAGACGGCTTGGACTGCCCTCGTGCTGAGGGTCTTGGAATCTCCCATGCAGATCTTCGTGGATACCTCCCTGGACGAGCGCAGCCAAAGAAGCCCCTAGATGGCGAGCTTGCGCGCGAGGTGAATTGCTACTCGATCTGCACGATATGTCTACAGTTAGCGTCATCAGATGTCACCGGCGAAGTCCAATTCTATGTAATTGTAGCTTGGTTTTGCATGGTTTTGCTTGCTTGATTGGTTGATTGGTTGATATTGGTTGATATTGGTTGGTTGAGAGATGTTTTTCGGGCATTTGACATTTAGACATTTTGACGCTCACATCTCACATATCTCACTCGTGCCAAGGCGATGGAACTGGCTTCGGACAAAGTTCCGATGTGATGCTCATAGGACCAGACCGGCTCAATGGTGTGGTGAATGGCTCCCATCCCCTGCAGTGGCTTGCAAGGTGAATCAAGGTGAGACATGTGGGACTATGTGGGACTGTTGAAAAGATGAGGGGCTTTTTGTTTTTTTTTTATGGCCTTGAAATGCTTTGAATACAAGACTTCCTACAGGAATTTGCAAGTCTCTAGATCTCCTTTTCAAGGGAACTCCAAAGCTAAGGTCTGCAAAACTAGCATTGCTTTTCAATCCTTTTCTTACCTTGCCTCGTTTCGGCTTTGTTCCATTTTGTTCCGATTGCCAGCGCTTGCCAACTGAATCTTCTCAAAGCAGCTTGTTTCCTCTTTGCCCAAATTAATGGAGCTGGATATCAGCTGGGTGAAAGATGGTGAAAGGGTAGAAATCTGTAGAACAAAAATGATCAAAACATATTGAAATCGTTGAAACTTTGCAGCATCTTGCAGCTAAGGCCTGGCTGCCACGTTCTTTATTTGTCAGTTGGTGACCCGCCGGAGTTGCTCAACAACCAAGCAGTGCATGGCGTGTTAAGCGAAATCGAGGCCAGGCTCACAGCACACACAGCAGTGATCGAGACATATCGAGACGGTTCTGTGATGCCAATGCATGTCATCGGTTCTGCAAGTTTCTCGGGACGATCTTGGGAGAATCATATATAATATATATATTAATATATATTAAATATTAATATATTATAATCATTGTCGAGTCTTGCTTTCCATGGAAGGCTGATTCATTGTGTGTTTCCATATTTTTTTTCGAAAATAGAACCTCAATGAAGCTCAGATAATCGGAGATCATCTAAGTCATCTAAGTCTTGTCTCCGCGAATCTGCGGCCAGGATGCAGTGCTGCCAGTCTTCTCTGCCAGCGTGCCAGATCAGGACCCACAAAGTGGTCAGCTTGTGAAGTTGTGAAGTTTGACATGGTAAGGCACACTTAGAATCAAATAGCTTCACTGAGACCTGTGCAACAACTCCAACTTTGACATGAATTGAGTCTGCTCCACATATTTCAGTGCAAGGGAACATAAGGATATATAAGGATCATAAGGCAAAAACATTAGAAAAATATGAAGGATTTTGGCAGTCTGCAGAATTCGATTTCTGGAGGATTTTGCTCCAGGCACTGCGCTGCCCAAGTTGCCCAGGCGTTACTACTTTGATGCTGTGCCTGCAACTTGGAAATGAACACATCTAAGGATCAGCAAATTTTTGTCAATTCTTCGTTTTTGGATTGTTTTGTTTGGTTTTGTTTTTTTGTTGGAGTGGGAACAGAAACTCCCAAAAGATGTAGGAACGACTACTAATCGCCAGAGGGTCGTCGGTTGTCTGCTTTTGGCTTCTCAAACAATGAATCGAGGAATTTCCCACCACGGTTGCCTACAGAAAGAAGTATGTCCTGTCGGTGTATTTTTTGTCTCCAGAGAGTTATTGCCCTGGTCCAAACAATACACGACTCAGCCCTGAGATGCTCGGCGAAAGCACTTCTGGAGTGATGTTTGTGCTGCCAGTGCACCCCAGTAACTTGCAGCATCTTGCCGCAGCAACAGTATCCCCCGATTTTGCCAGGCCCCTCTCAGTCATGGTCCACATCGTGCACTTAGACCACTTATTGACCACTTATTAGACCACTTAGACTGTTCCTAGTGAGTTACCGGTTCCCGCTGCTCTGACCTGTCCCGTGCCCTCGATTTAGGAAGGTGAAAGGCGATCTTTCACCACAGCATGTCTACATCGAAGATGGAACTCATCAAACACGGGAAGCTGCGTTTAAGCACTATCACTTCACCATGTTCTGCGGTGATTTCTCGTTGTCACCATTTCCTCCACTGGCCTTGGTCTACTCTCTAGCATATGTGGCACACGTTCCTCAGCAAGGCTTTTGGATGCTTTTTGCGCATTTGTTCTTGCACAAGGCGAATATGAATCAGCATGAAAGTGGCGGAAGATCTCAGGACAAACACGCATATTTCATAGTCAGAATGTATCCATGTAATTCTATGTAGATATCCGTACATACACGTGTGTCACATGTATATGTGTGTGTGTTCTATATTTAATATAAGTTTATCATTCTATATGTAAGGATATGTAAGGTGTGTTGAGAAATTCAGAGGCCAAGTTGCTGTGAACTGGCTGAACTGGCTGAACTGGCCTTCACCAAACTGAGTGCCTTTGCTGCCTGTGCTTCGCATTTCTGAGGCCATGGCACCAGAATTTATCCATTGGAAGTCCAGCCGAATGTTTTTCCACCTGCCAGATGCGGCACAGGGCGTGCGCTCGACCACTTTCACCAACCTGGAAGTGCCATGGCCATGGATGACGATGGACATTGATACTTTTGAATGGTGGCCATTGGTTTTGGACATTCCTCAATGTAATTCCTTATAGACATTCATGAATTTTCATGAAATTCATTCCTTTTTACCATTGCCCAGATGACTGAACGAGGCATACTTGCAGAACATGATGACCGCACCCTCCCAAGAGAAGGTCATGGAGTTCAAAGAAACCTTCACGCTCTTGTCACAGGCGCGTTGTCCCTGTCGTCCCTGTCGTTCCTGTCGTGCTGGTTTTGTGCTCACTTGTCTCTTGCACCCCCCTCCCGGTGCCAACCGGCTCACACTTTCTCTTGGCCTTTCACTTACCTTTTCAGACAAGACCTTGCAGCTCCTCCCAGTGACGTGTCCATGATGCCATTATCACAACAGAGATGGCGAAAGTATGGAAGAGTATGGTACAATGCACTGACATGTGCCCCATCACAGACGCATGTTTGTTGTGTGCCTGTTGGTTTGTTGATGTTTGTTGTATATTGTTGGCGCGCTGACCAGGTGCTTTTTCGCTATCGTTACGTGGAGCCCATCCGCCACCGCGCTGACGTGGCGGCCTGCGGCCTTTGCGATGCGCGGGATCGTGAACGGCGAAGGGCCGAGCAGCAACAAGCAAATGCCAAGGTGCCGATGCCCATGACACGTTGAGATGGGGAAGATGGGGACACAGACATGGATCCTGAGCTGGTTGTTAGTTGTTGATGTTGGAGGCTAAGAGGATTGCATTTAAGACACGAGTGGCTGGATGGCATGGATGAGTACAATGAGTACCATGTATAGTACGCGGTGCGCAGGTAGTACCGTGTATTTTCAATACCCGTTGCGATCCTTCGAAGCTTTTTCATATTTTTTCATGTTGCAGTTGTGCAGGTAGCGACTGCATTGTTTCTAAAGCTTGTCTCGCCAGACGTTTCCTCAAGTTGTGTTGGAAATTGAACCTGTTGGTGCCACTTAACACAGATCTGAATTTGATTTGCTCATGATGTACTCATTTCAACATATTTCCACCCATTTCTGGCAGGTTGCGGTGGCTTTCTGCATCATGAGCCGGCGAAGTGCACATGAGCTGCGCAAGGTGGGACTCTGCAATCGGATTTTTCAAGACACTGCTTGCCATGGGGAATCGACTTGAAATGAATCGTTGATCAGTCTAAGGGTCCATGTAGAGATTGTCCATTACAAAGGCCGCCAAGGTTCCAACACGAGACCCCCGCGAAAGATAAATGCTGGGTTCGCGAAAGATTCACGAAAGTATTGTTTTTATTCGCGAAGAATGGCCCGTTTGCAGATAAAGGAATTTAGATCAACCACCAAGTGACCAAGTATATCAAACTTAACAAACGATTCACATTGGACACATCTTAATCACATTGAAAAGCCTTCATTGCATGTTCGCTGGGATGTGCTTGAGGTGGTACGAGAGACCTGGGGGAAAGGCTTGGCTGGCAAAGCACCGAGTGTCGTGCAGCGCTTCTTTGTGGGGAAGGCTGCGAACACGTGACTTGGGCTGCATGTTCGTTGCCAAATCAGAAGAACCAAGTGAAGAGCTGGTCAAGTTGTATTTAGCAAAGTAATGCAAAATAATACATATTTGCTTCCAGGACAGTTTACTCACCCTGCGGGCTTCATTCAGGTGGCCAAAACATGCCAAAACTGCTTCCAACATGATTTGCAAAACAAGGAGTTTTGATGATTTTGATGTCATGTGCAGGAATTGTTCATCACATCTCACTTCTTGCAGCCTCATGCAGCTTTAGTACATTTTAGTACACTCTTTTCGTTTTTTTTTGACTGGTGGATGTGGCGAAAAAGCAACAACGAACAAGCTGCGGAGGTCTCATGCTTTGCATGATCTGGACGATGTCGTGGAGTTGCCAGTGGTGGAGTCCTACCGTACACTGAACATCAAGGCTTTATCGATGTTGTCCTGGGCTCACAAGACGTATCCCAACTTGCAGTGGTTGGTCAGACATGACGACGATGTCTATTTGAGGGCTCCAGCATTGCTGGCTCAGCTCTCTAGCAGACCACCGATCCGATATTTCTGGGGCATGTTCGACCACGGTTCAAGCCCGGTGAGAGATCCGTCGCATCAGCACTACAACTCCTACGAACAGTTCCCCAAACAAGAACATCCGGCCTGGGGCGATATTTTTCCGCCCTACGTTGCTTGGCTTTGTGCTGAGAGTCTGTCAGCGATGTCGGTGGTGATTTCTGCTGAGTCACTGTTTACTGGCAGAGATTTGCGGTGACATTCTGTGACATGCTGTGAGACTGTGAGATATTGTGACAGCGTGGTTTTTTGATTGCCATAATGCCATTCTTGCAGTGACAGGCGAGGGGACTGCTCTGGGCTATGTCAGTTGACCTGGTAGCCGCGACTGTGAAAGAGTTCATGGCAGACCGGGAGGTGGGCCAAGTGGGCCAAGCACAAGAGTTTCTTCAGTTTCTTCAAGTTTCTTCAAGTTTCTTGACATTCTTGACATCCTTTCGCAGTTTTCTGCATTGAAGCGTTGAAGTGGAGCAAACACGTCTCCCCAAAGGATCAGCCGGACATCCCCTTGGATGAGGTGCAGCTGTCATGAATAGATATGAATAGTCCATAGTCCTGTAGTGACTAATTTCAGTGTTTCTCCAATTTTCTCCATGTTGGGATGACCTTGGATGACTGAAGTTGCCAGGTGGCTGCAAGTAGTCTTCCCCACCCAGATGATCCTGCAGTTGGAGTGCTTATCGCTGGCTTGGCCACTGGCCTGGAACAAGTTGCATCGCCATTTGTGCAAGGTTCGAATCAGCTACACCTCAAACTTGGAAACCTGGGAACCCTGTTGTGTTCAATGATGTTTGACAAGGTGCAGCGCGGCATGTCTGTGAACCTTGATGACCGGGACTTCAATTCCTTCTCGCTGAACCCGTCCTGCAGCTCTGATCTGTTGATAAAAACTGGATCAAGAGACGTCGCACACATGGCATGGCATAGACGCATGAGACAAGGCCGCTTTCTCTAGCGATGGCCTTGGGCCCTTGATATGAGGCAATTCTACTTTCTCCAATATCCACAATCGCACCTGGGCAACTTATCTAAAGTTAGATGCTTTGTTTGGCC